GGAAGTGCCGAACCAACCCTCTTTACTTTCCCATATCGTCGCCAAAAATACGCGGAAGATTCAGTCCGAGGAACTTCGTTACGCCCGTAACTTGCTTCTCGTAACGAGGTGCCTTATTATACGAACGCCGATGGCTTCGCGTGCTCAGATGTAACCTAATTGTTTGAGACATTTATCGGTAATCGCACAATAAATGATCTAATATCCTTTTTATATTTTGGACGCTTGCTTTTAATCCGCAACAGTAACAAGAAACGTGACATTTCCACACATTCATCAGTTACGCGCATTTACTTGATTGTTGTCTCAGTTCGGAAGAATATAGGAACATAGTAAGTACATAAAACGGGGTGGAAATGTCAGACGACGGGTGCAGAAAACATTTCTCGAGAGCGGGCGACTGTCGCGACGCATCAACCGCGGCGCGAGTCTGAAAACCATTATCGGCCTTCTTCCGCCCTGCGTATCGCCACGGAAAGGACCCCGCCAAGGATTTATACCCCTTCGTGTTTTGTAACGACCGGCTACGCTGTTGCAGATCGCGCGGTCGTTGCAGAGAGGCGTCACGGTGCATCGCGCGCGCGTTCCGCGTTGTCGCGACTCGCCCGAGAAGAATCGGCAAATCCAATAAAGGGTGAATAATGCCGGGCGTTGCCACTGTGCGAATCCGTAGGTTCGTCCGATGATGTTCTGGCTGGGGATGGCCGATCGCGTATTTATCGAAGCGAGAAAAGAAGAATGGGGTTGAGAAGATGGAATGTATAGCGAGGTGAAAGAGAGAGAAAGATATGAGAGGGGTAAGAGAGAGAGAGAGAAAAGATTAATAGTGACGGATTATCCATTAGGCACGACATATACAGGATTAAGGTGTCGTATATGAGCGGTTTTAAAGTAAATTGTTAAATTTCTGAGAATGTCTAAATAAATTCAACATTTTCATAATCAATTAGTGAAGATATGTATATCTGGCTGAAGCTTGAAAGCCTAGTAATAATATTCGAGGGTGAAGTTTTTCCAATTTAATAAATTAAACCTTTTCCATCGCGTACGTAATGTTCAGTTCTAATATAAAATATTATAACATAAAAAAATTATATTTATGTATAATAATATAGTTTTTATTTTTAAAGGCGTAAGTCAAAATAGATTTATATTACTACTCATATCTGAAATTTTTATCTCCAACTAAATTATCCTTTAGTTACCCATTTAATTTATCATTTACAAAGTTTTCTCTTGATTCAAAGAATTTAGAATTATCATAATTTATACTTTGGTACAAAACTAACATACTTGGTACAAAACTAACATACAAATTTATGTCAACGCCTAGAGAATTATGGAATATTTGGATATACCGTTGGAGAGAAGAGCGCGCAGATAACGGACTATTCTTCGCCATTAGATCCGCAAGAGAGAAGAGAGAGAGAAAACAGAAAATTTGTAATAGGGAGAAACGATCGACGGATATATATGGCCGCCTTCCGTAATGCCGATGGATTTTACTAATAACCGATATAACCCAAACTAGCCGTGGAATATTATAATTGATTTATCGCGCCAACGCGATACACACGTCGGATTTATCAGCCCGTGGTCCCGTCCCGTCGCCGTTCCGCCGTACCGTTCCGCGACGCGCCGCGGAACCGATCGAACGGAACGGCGATCGACGATAGACCGCTTCCGGTCGACTCGGCGTTGCCTGCGGGTGCATTCATTTGACACGGCTCGTTCGGATATGCAACGTGCTCAGCAACCGCGTTAAGTGTCGTTTCATTTAACGTGTTCATTTAGCCGTCGCGTGCACGTTCGTAATAAATGCGCCGGCAAACAATTAGCTCTGAGAGACATACGCGGATGTGGACATATCAAAAAAAGGATTACCCCTGAGGCATAATGTTTATTGGGTGAACATTTGCAGAAATCAATTTGTTGCTTAACGACGTATTTTACACCCATTGCTATATTTTTATTTAATTTCAAAGAAATTATTTTCTTTACCTTAACCAGTAGAGGTAATTTAGTAGAAGGAAATAAAAAGTTAGTAGATTCAAAGAAACATGATTTCAACGTATCTCATTTGTTTAATCTAAATAAATCTTTTTTCTGGGTGTGCACGACGGAGCGAACGAAGTAAACAAATTTCTCGGGACAAATTTGACGAAATCGATTACAGATACCTGCTCTGCTCTGATAAGAAAACGATGATCTCGGCATTTAGAAGAATCTCTGATCTCGACGGAGCAGGCGGCTGACGATTGGCAGCGAAAGAAAATTATTCTTTCGGGCGTACGATCGCCATCCGCCACCGCACGGCACTCCGTCGGGCAAGGGTTGATAATAAATTCAAATTTAGGGGTGCGCGCAATCTGTGATTCAGCGCCATTAAGCACAGGATCTCTCTAAAGGACACTACCCCGTATTTCCTCCTAACTTGGCACATCCGTGAGAGTGCCCCGGCTCTTTAAACTCGCTAAGAGGCAAAAGGTCACTTTGGTAATCAAAGGATCGCCTTGCTTTTAAAATCCACAAAGATTCGACGATGGAATTTCTTGCGGGTTCAGCGCGCGTAAGCTAAACAGTGAGAAAATTTGCGATTAGGTTTCGTAAAAAATGAAGAACATACTAACGTAAAAACGGCAACTCCTTCGTGACAGCCAATTTACCTAATGACACGTGGGTGTTCTTTGTGAAATTTTTTTCACATAAAAAAATTTGCACATTTCGAATCACATGAAGAAGCGCGACGAGTGGTCGTAAAACACACGAAATAAAATCTACCTAAGTACCCCAGAAACAGAATGCCGAACGAGGATACTTTATGGGTAATCGAATCAAGTTTTTAACTGTCTAGATGTTTCTCCTTTCCGGGGCATAAAATTTCCGCGGATATTCACGTATCGATTGCCTCGGGGACGCAAGCAGAACGCGAGAGCCGTGTTGATGGCCGACGATTAACGTGCTCGTCTATCGCGATCGGTGATGCGTTTCGCGATCGCAAAATCGCCAGCAACAAGCATTAAAGTCGTTCCTTCGATTGCCCGAGAAATGAACGATTTCGAGGTTCACGTTCGCATTTATTTCGCGAGACGAGCCGCGACGGTTATCGATCGCCACCGCCAATAACGAATGTGGAATAGGGACGAGAAAAAGAAGGTTTCTAGGAGGCTTTGATTTATATCGCGTCGATATTTTCCGCAGGTCTCAGTGTTTCTTAATTCGAGGTTTCTCCGCGTGCTCGCCGCGGGGGTAATTCGATTTCCTGGCGAATCGGTTGGAAGTAAATCAGGGTACAGTCCTCGGCAAAATTCGCTCCGAGACACCGTCATAATTTTCGCCAAGTGCATAACGCCGATTGTCTCGCGATATCATCGTAACGCTCCTCGCTTTAGATCCATGTTTACCCCCCAGTGCTGTGACAGGTTCTTAAATATTTTTCTCCACAAATACTTATTGTTTTAATAAAATTGAAGCTCTGCAGATATAGCATTAAATGTACGTTTTCAAGAAGAGTATCTTAAAAATTATTGTTAATATTATTTTACCATGCATTTAATTAATTATCTCAATGCTTAATTTATTTATGGTATTACTATAATATATTTACTTCTTAATTAATTATTTTATATGATAACAAGTGATCAATTTTTATAAACTTTTTGGTAGCGCATAACTGTATTTTCCTATCATATCAAGAGATATTTAAATAAGAAATATTTGCACAAATTGTATTTTACAATACAATAACTTTCAGTGACCCACTTTGAGGTCATGTACATAAAATTTTCTATTGCGTTATAATGCAGTTAATACATTGCTTATATGTATAAACATATATTATAAAATTGTATGTAAGGTCTTATATACATTCCATTTATATTTGTGTGTGTACTGTGCTGTAAATATATCATTGTAAACTGTCCTGTCTTTTAAACGTGATGCTGATGAAAGATTTACTCGAGGGGTAATCATGTACAAAATCATGTACACCGATGCCTACTAATGCCCAGTGGGTATTACTTTGTCTTATTTTATCTTTATAATGCCCAAAAAATGCCAGTAATGTCCAGTAATGCCGCGAATTTATACACCACAATACCCTCAGCGGTTTACCCCTCAGATTTACTTTTGATTTACACACATCTATTTAAACAATGTAGAATTTTCATATTTCTAATTGAGTCAAAACTATGCAAATTTCGGAATAATTTCTCAATTTTCAAGATATTTGTTTTGTATACTCTACAATTTTTTGTTCCACAAATCCCTTAAAAATAAAACTATCCATCTGTTACAGCTTAAAAATGTCGAACACTTAAAACGATGCAATTGAAGGGAATACATGTATTCCAATGTTAGGGGACAATGGTCAAAGGAACAAATAAAGATAACAAGTAGAGATATATCGTTGTTACTAATCCAATTATGAGAAGTGCCCAGTTTAAAGCGCTTATCGTAGATATCTTGCAAGCTACGTTCGATAGGGGAAATACAAAGACAACACCGTGAAACTTGTGGTTACCAGCCGAGATTCATTGCAACAGCGAAATTCTTATGTGTCAGGAATGTTTCCAAGAAAACATCGGTGATCCCGTTTCGAGCATCTCCCAGAGACACGTATCAGGAATGCTCGTTGTCGGTAGTTGACGACCGACGATCGATGCTCTGTGATCCATGATCCACAATCGACAGCATCCTCCAGGTATGTGTTCAGCAATGCTCATTGTCCATGGCCGATGAATCGCGCTTCATAATGCACGATCCATGATCCATGATCGGCAGCATCCTCCAGGAATGCCCATTGTCGACGATGGTCATGATCCATCGATGATTTACAAATAGCGGAATCTTCCAGAAGCACGTATCAGGAATATATATTCATTGTGATCCACGATCCATGTGCGGGCGGGATCCACGTTCGAGAAATGCGTAGCTGTTGAAGTCCCGTAGTGGCGGCGGCTGGCGACCATCTCTCGCCCCGGCGTTAACGAAGCCCCGTGTTAACGGAATCTTCTCGCCTCGCGCTCGGACTCGCGCAAGATTAAGACGTCGCCCTCTCGTACCGGCCCCTTCACGTTTCTGATAATTTGTCGGTTCTGCTCACCCAGAACATCGACCTTCACCTGGGTGCATTGCCCCTGCGACCCAGTGCGTCCCAGGACCTTGCTGACACGCGCCAAAACGTCTGGTTTATCCATACTGATTGTCTTTCTCGCGTAACTTACGACTCGGAAAAGATATCTGGCGTGAATGGCAGATAGGGATGGGCGTCGGGCGATACCCTCTGATTCATTAAATATCGATGTTCTTTGTTCGGGTAATCGATTATTTTTGTCGATGTTACTACATAAGCTTTACTTTTGTTAAATTTAGATTTTGATGCTACAGAAACACACAAATAATTTCGTACTCACTCGTGATGGTAAAAATACGAAATATCATATACATTATATAATACTTTTTTATAACTGTAAAGTTAGATAAAAAGAAAGAGCAAATTCTTCGAAGAATTTCGGCAAGAATCTATGATTTATGTGTTTGTACGCGTAAAATTTTTAGTGCGATAACAATATATTCCGTTAATTCCGTATAAAGAGTAATGAATAACACTATATGAATTGCATTTTGCAAATATGCCCAGCAATGCGCACGGAGAGAAAGCGTAATTGGGTCGATCATAAATTACACTGGATCCTGTTAGCGATTATTTCTACTTGGCCGAACATACGTGGATTTTTCCACTGCGGCGCGCAATGAGTCCGAATTTATCTGTAACGCAATTTCTGTTGCACGGTTCTTATTCAAAATTGTGTTTTGTGTTTCAAAAATCATGTTAAAACATCTTTTCTACATAATCAAGCGATTTCTAACGCAATAGTTTGTTCGTGTTTCTTTTATATTTCTGCATGGGCTAAACATTTTTTTTATTAACGCACAACGCATATAACAATTTATGTTATACAAAATAATTTTATAACGAATAGTTGCTCTATTCGCCTATCTATTGTCAAATGCTTTCCACGTTTTTCTTTATTGGTTTCTCTGTCCTTTGCATTCTTTTATTAGTATTTTCTTATACTTTCGCAGTTTCCTTTCCCCGATGAAAAGAATGTTCAAGTCGTACGGTCTTGTAATGAAAAATACCCGTTTCGCTCCATTTATTTCCGTCTTTTCCGTTGGTATTCCGGCGTTAGGCGACCGTCGAGAAGCGATTTGAGCAACTTTAACGTCGCTTACTCCGCAGCCCGCAACCAGCACGTACGAACACTCTTGCCCAGTACCCGAGGACTAAGGTGCTCCTTCGCAAATCCGTCTGGCCGTTCAGCAGTGGGCAACGGGCTGAATACCAATTTCCAATTTGTCCGGGCATATCGGCCGGACGCTCAAGAGCGTGACACAAATGCCAGATGCAATCAACGGATTGCGAAGGAAGGCGCACTTCAGTGCAATCCCTGTGTTAATCCACGATCATCGAGTGCAGTTACCCCAACCCTGTTCAACCAGCGAGAAGGACTGTTTACGCAGCTTATGATATCCCTCCCGCATCTTCTGTGTATAAAGATTTATTCCTAGTTTCTGTCTTCTTTTATAACGCATAAAACTTTCTGGATTTTATCATTAAAGGAAGATAACAAGAGAGTGATCGAAGAATCTCTTAAATAAATCATGCAATAATTTTAAGACATTCTGCATTTATAAACACGTAAACGCAAAAATACTTTCAACTCGTTGTATTAACATAAAAACGATTGCGTCAACAATTACGATTAAATCAGAGAGAGATATTGAGAAAAGACGTCGATCTGACGTTACAACGCACTTAGGGTCGATTCGGTTTTTCTTTGGAGCGCTCTCGCGCGCCTCAATATTGTCGCTATCTCTTGTATACAGTTGCCGCCATATTCCGCGAGAAGACGCCATATTACCGGAAACTTCCACCCCCTTTTATGTTGGCTTGTCGCGGACCGTCTCCGCGAAAACTACCCCCATAAAAGTTGACGACTTAAATCGCGGGGCGTATGCCCCGCAGGAGAGAAGGAAAAAACCTGGAATACTATGGCAGATATTGACGTATTTGGGATATGTTGCTTTATTTTGCAAGAAGACCCAACGAAAAATTGAATGAGTGAAAAAAAGGATTATACGATTATATAGATACGTCTTGAAAATCACGGTTTGTAATTAATCGCTATTAAACCAAAAGATATGAAATTATTTCAAAAAAATAAAATATAACTTTATCGTATTTTATTTTATATAGTTATTGTAGTATTAATATATGGTGTTTTTTTATAAATTAAACATTTATATTTTATCGATTCCTACGATATTTTCAAAATTATTATCGTAAGCTTCAAGTTTATTACTTAATTTTTCTTTAAAATCATGAATATGTAAAAATGCAATTTTATTTTCTGATAATATTGTAGATTAATATTTCGGTACAACAGTTATTAAAGTCATTTTAAACGCAATATCGTTTAATATACGATCAACATTATTATTAAAATACAACCAAGGGTCTACACAAACTTGAGCTTGAAATTTAGATCGTCGAATGGATGAAATTAGAAATCAATCTCGCAACTTCCTTTCTGTTTAAGGAAGCAGATTCGAGACGAGACGAGGAATTTACAGTCGTCGTCACATCGGGGAACTTTCCAACGGGATCGCCGTGAAAGACATTCGATTATGATTCCGCGAGACTTTATCATCGCCGTCCATAAATTCTGGGCTCGCGCAAAAGCAATCTGCGCCGGCGGTGATCCTAATAACCGTGCGGCCATTCGTTCACCCGGGAGAGTGAGTCGTAATCCTAACTGAAAGACACTCGGCGGTGAAAGAAGACGGAGAAAGGAACGCCCGAAGTGGCCGTAATGAAGTAGATCGAGATAAATATGGAAAGGAGAGCTTAAAGCAAATGGCGATCCCCGGATTCCGTCTCAATATGCTTGAAAGTGTCTCGCGCGCTGACGTGGCGCTTCGAAATTAAATCGCCCGGACGATTAGTCCCCGACGTGGACATCTATGACGAGCGATGACGTAAACATTTACGGAATTTTGTCGCTGCTTCAGAGAAACAACGATATAAAAACTGCCGTGAAGAAGAATTCGCATCATTTCTCGTGGTAATGCTCTCTAAAAATCAATTAGTGGATTATCAGTGAATACAGTGAATAGTCACTGATTTACAATTATAAGTATAGCACTGCGATTTTCAGTGGTATACTTATAAGGTGCAGTGGGGTAAATCCGTACACGGGGCAAATCCGTACTAGGCCCTTATTTATTCGAATATACGTTGCATTGTACCAACTGTAAGGTAGAAATCTTCCTTTGGTTAGCATTCAATGATCAACATAGGTAGCCGCCATGTATTCTGTGATTCCCCCGTTTAACTCGTTCGAGAAAGTTCATGGTTAGATTAGGTTAGATTAGATAATTTAAGCAATAGTTTACAAATCTATGTGTTTATCTTCGATAGGCACAAAGTATAGTAAGGTAAGTTTCCTTTATAGTAATAAAATATTATATTATATTATATTCTAAATATTATATTATATTCAATAATTTTTAAACAGGTAGGTGCGGTTTTGCCCCAGTTCGGGGCAAGTCCGCCCTAGCAGCACTGTTGTTAATTTAATAAGAAAATCATAAGTTTCAGAAGTTATTTTTAATCCAAATTAATGCAACTTAAAGAATAAACCATGCGCTAAATAAAAACACTAAGATTATTAGGTTTTAGTGGAATAGATAGAAAATACATCAGTTTAAAGTAAACTTTACAATTTCTGGGTCGGTTTTACCCCACTCCACCTTAACTGCAAATCAGACTATTCGCTGTTTTCAGTGATAATCCACTGATTGACTTTTAGAGAGCAGAGAACGAAGGGACGAACGTAACAAGTATGAAATACGATACAGAATATTAAGTAATTCTTTTCATTCCAATTATTCGTCGGATGTGCTGATTTCTACTCTCTAAAAGTCAATCGGTGCATTATCACTGAAAACAGTTATAAGCATAGCACTGAATCATTCAGTGCTACACTTATAACTGTGAATCAGACTGTGAATCAGTGCTCTCTAAAAATCAATCAATGGATTGTCACTGAAAACAGTGAATAGTTATAACGCAGTGAGAAATGATTCGTCGAAACAAGGTCGAATCGACATCGATACTGTCAAGTTCTACGTCGATTCGACATTAATTTGACGGTGTCGATGTCGATTCGACATCCATTGACGAAACAATTCTCGCTGTTTTCAGTGATAATTCACTAATTGATTTTTAGGGAGTGGATATTCACTGTTTCCAGTGACAATCCAGTGGTTTCGACGAAATACGAGAGCTTTTAAATAAACGGACGCCGCTTCCCAGCGTCGCGTCGAGGCGTGTAGGCCTTCTGCGGCTAATATGACCGATGTATGTATGAGGCCGCGGCGTGTAAGGGTAGGCAGGGGTGCATAAATATGCGCGTATGCGTCACCGCGCGCATAAGTGCCGATGAGGGGATTTGTAAATGATCTTAGCGCACCGCGTCAATCACTTACGCCGTTCCAACACGCACGAGCACGCTCGCATACAGAAAGCCGAGAGGTTTCGACTTTCAACGGGGTTTTGTCAGCCGATCAGGCATGTAACTCAATTTCTCTAGCTATTCCGCGAACACTTACATTTCGAGTTAAAAAGCAAACTCGTGCGAATATATTTTCTCCGGAAATTTTAGTTAGAGGGAGAGAGGGGGGAGGGAGAGAGAGAAGAATCTTTGATTATTTGAGAGGACCAACGAGAGAAACTACTTTGACACTTGTAACATAACTTGACGTAAGTTATTGTAACTTTTAATTCAATCGCATTGAGATCCAGTTTTCCAAAAGATCGGGTTGTTATTTTTCACCGATTAATATTCATCACAGAGACGTGACTCCCGACTGCACTTATGTAAGATATTTCGATCGCGGAAAAAAGGGATCGGCAAACGCGCGGCGCGACGCGGGGATCTAGGAGCAGAAGTATATCCACCCCGATGATATATGTATAGCGGGGGCGCGTTACGCGGTGAGGTAAAGTTCTCTCAAGACGCCGGAAAGCGCGCGCAAAAAGAATCTTTCGGAAGACGTTGCGGCCGCGGCGAGAAGGGGCGAAATTACGTCAAAAGTCTCGAGAATTTATCGGAGCACTTTTTAAACTCCGCCTTCGCGCGATTAGCATATTATTTCTATGGAAGCCGAGAGCGAACAGAAAGCGCCGCGAGAGGAAGAAAGAGAGACAGAGGAGGAGAGAGTAACACGCTCGCGACTCTCCTCTATATCGGTCTAGAAAGAGGGGGGGGGGGAGCGTGTAGGGAGCATATCAAATATGTTGATAAATGATCCCTTTGAGCGATGAATAGGCGGCGTCGGGTTCGTACGTATCCTTTTTCGTCGGCGGCGGCGGCCAACATTTGAATGTCAGAAGGAACGCCGAGCAAACGCGACCGTCCGCATTGGCGTTTCCTCGATATCTCTCTTACCCCATCGAGGAACTGCCGCATACAAGCACGTCGTCGTAGATCCCCGTCTTCTCATCGCGAGAACGCCCGGGCGGAACGAAACGCGAGGAATTACGCAAATACAGATATTCGCGATGCGAAACCGGTCAAATTTTATTGCGGGTCGACGAAGAATCGCCCTCTCCCTTCTGTTAACCGCGTATCTGTGTGCTTTCTAAAAGTCAATCAGTGGACTATCACTAAAAACAGTGAACAGTCACCGATTCGCAGTTACAAGGATACCAGTGAAAACCGCAGTGACTATTCACTGTTTTCAGTGATAATCCACTGATTGATTTTTAGAGAGAGTTATTTGACGAAACGTCCGATGGCCGGAGCGAACGCGCGGTAGGGGAGGAATTTTCCGAGGGGAAAAAAATCTCAGATGCAACCGTGTTCTCTCCGGGTGAGAAAGACAAACGCTGAATTCCTTTGACCCTCGATCTTTACGAAGCCCCGGAAAAGAAAGCGGAAGCCCGTTCACGCTGGGCACGTTGATGCAAAACAGCCGTATTTCCGCCTGGCCAATCAGTTCTGACCGCTCGCCCTTTGGTAATCTACATGTACGATTGCGCGATGAACACGGAAGATAGCGACAATTTCGGAGTTTTTGGCGCGGGATATAGATATATATTACAACATAAAATATCGTATATCAATGCGTCACGCTCCGCGAAATTAAACGCATATTTCAATAATCATAGCCGTTAACAGATTTCGCGCGTGTATTCGAGTTCCCGCGTGTCGGTAAATGCGGGAGAGATTAATATCCCCAGAATTTAATTAACATAATAAAAGGAATATCGCGGAAACGCGATGAAAATAATGTAAATGCGCGCGCAACGCTGCGGCAAGATTCGACGCGAAATTAATTCGAATTACATTTAAAAAGTGGCACGTATAATATGCATGCGGCTGTGTAATTTCACTAATATTAATTTCTTCATCAAATATGCACCGCGTATAAAATTATGTACAATGTATAGAAAATATAGTGTCACATTCTGTTACAGCATTACATTTTAATAACAGATATACCCAGACAACGCACATTATTTATAAAATGTTTACAAATATTTTGTAATCATTTTATAAATATTCTGTGGCGTAAGGGTTGGATGCAGGAAATATCTAATAGAAAGTTTAATTCTTGAAAAGTTCTTTTGTTTGAAGAAAGATAGATTCTGAATTAGTCAATGTTTCACAAAAAAAAATGCGATTATAAAGTTCTTACGTGTCGATATACATATTTTCTACTTTGATATTTAATTAATGGATCAATTTGGTCAAATAACAATACTTCCATTTCTTCACAATAATTAAGAAATAAGTATATCTATGTTGTCAGCGTAAAACTAATTTTCTAATTGATTTATAATATTTATATCGTAAAAATAATAATCCGATTCAACGGTACACCGCGTATATCGGCGAACCGATGGTAAGTAAAAGTTAACAGTCGTTAAAGACGCAATGTTTCTTATCGACCGACGTTTACTGAAACTAAGTTATCTACACTTTGCAACCTTTACCGACAGCGCTAACCAACGACGACTCCAGCAACTTGCGCGCGGGAAATTATTACGCCTTCAAGTTTCCTCGCAACCGCCATATTGCAAGCAGGAAATTGTATGCGCGAGACGCCCAGTAGATTGAAGGTGTCACAAACGACACCATTATTTTGCTAATACACTACTTGTCGCGACATCGTAATATCGCGAGCATCGTAATGCCGGTTGTCTCGAAAAGATGAAAAGATTGAGAGAAAATGAAGGCAGGAAACGTACTCACCGATGACATTGCCGAGACGCGGCGAGAAGGCGCCGGAATAGGCTCGCGTCCGCCCACGACGAGGCTTCGACTGGCAATTACCGATCCGCTCGAAAACTTTGGACTCTTGCGTGCTCGAGTGGATCGGCAGGTCCGCCGCGCGCGAGGGCACCCGCGTAGGTTGAAAATAGACGCGACGATACGCGACGTCGATAGCAGGCCCGGACTATTTTCGAACGGCCGCTCGGCATGAGAGGCCTCGTCCCCCCGGATGACGGAGTCGTGACTTCGCACACGCGTCGCGACTGAGGAAGCGGCCGTTCCGTGCGAGAGCGCATCCCTTTGTCGCCGGCGCGCGACACGGCACTCGACGACGAAAGCCAGTACGCGGCGCGACGTTGGATCGACACGGGAACACGAGAATTCGACGCCGACGCGCTCGCGCGAGAAACTCGGCGCGAAAACTCTGCCTCGCGCGGTCCTGAAAAAGTGAAAACTGCGTAGAACTTGACCACCTCGGCGATTGGCGAAAAACAGGCGGAAACAAGCGAAAAACGACTTGACGCGGTAAGCAGCATATTCAGGGCACTCGAGAATCGATCGATCATTGCGCAGGCGTGGCGCGATATTCAAAGGTACGCGAGCGTTTACTCGTGCATCATATTCCCCTTCTGCCTGCTTTCAAAACTATTTCAATGTTTCCAATGTTTGAAGGGTGCACCGCAAACTCGCATTTCCCGACGACGTCGCTTCGGTGACGATCCTCGGGACGCGAGGCATCCGTTGCTCGTGCGAATCGCGATCGCCGCGTCATGCGTAATGGAAAGTAATCGATAATATCCGCCCGCGACGGCCGCGACTGCCGCTGACAGTCACGTCAGTCGACCGGCAAAGCGCCGCGCGGCGCCCGTTGAAGTTCGCTCCGACTCGACGCGACGAGGTTATGCGCTCACGTTGCCCGTAAACATTGCAGGCGCGTTACCTCGCATCGTTCCCGCCGCTCCCGGAAGACGCGCCCAGATGGCCGGCCGAGCGTCGCTCGCACCTCTGCTCCTCGTCGTCGCTCTCGCCGCCTCGCTGTCCGCTCGGAGCGACGCCGCCTCCGCGCACATCCACACGCATCAGCACAACAAAGTCGACAGCAATGAGAGGACGGAGGACGGTGCTTTCAGCCCCCGCGATGCCGACCACTACGCCGAGGGCGAGCACCACCAGGAGTTCGATCACGAGGCCATCCTAGGTGCGAATGAGACGCGACTGGACATATGCTCTCTCGACTCACCCTTGTGAGATCGCTCACGTTTACCTCAATATTTATGAATGACAGTTTGATTTGTATTTTGTTCCATGTATCGCTTTGCCTTGCCGAAGCTTTAAAGCTGCTTTTGAGGGAAATTAGTTTGTTTGTCAGCAAGAAAAGGATGTACTTGCTTTGCTGTAACTACTAGTTGAATATTTTGTTTCTTGTGCGAAGGAAGCGTAAAGGAGGCAGAGGAGTTTGATAAGCTTCCAATGGAAGAATCAAAGAGGAGATTAGGGATTCTACTGACCAAGATGGATCTGAATAGCGACAAGTATATAGAGAGGAACGAGCTGAAAGCCTGGATCTTGCGTTCGTTTCGGTAGTATTGTTAATCTCATGTTTAGTTTGTACAATTATTGCAAGACGTTGGGTTAATTGAATTTTGTAAACAGCATGCTGTCGGCAGAAGAATCCGAGGATCGCTTGGACGACGCCGATAGGAATGAAGACGGCAAAGTGAGCTGGGACGAAATCGTGGAAGACACTTACGGCAGCGATCCCGAAGATCTGGCCCTTGACGACAAGTTGATTAACGACGACAAGCAGACGTTCGAGGCTGCCGACTTGAACAAAGATGGTTATTTAGACTCGGAGGAGTTCATAGCTTATACGCATCCTGAGGAGACACCTAGAATGTTTCCACTCTTGTTGAAGCAAGCCCTGGCCGAGAAAGATATGGATGGGGACGGGTACATAAATTTTCAGGAGTTTATCGGCGACAGAGCCAAGTCGAAAGACAAGGAATGGGTGTTGGCTGAAAAGGACAAATTTGATTACGAACACGACAAGAACGGGGACGGCAGACTCGACGCGGACGAAATTCTTTCTTGGCTTGTTCCAAGTAACGAGTGAGTATACTGTAATGCATAGACCGAGGAGTAAACCGCTGAGGGCATTGTGGTGTACAGATTTGTAGTATTACTAGGCATTTTTCGGGCATTATAAAGATAAAACGAGATAAAATAATACCATCTTGTCTAGACTTTTTTTATTGTTTGATTTTTATCATACGAGCCATTGTTTCTTTATTAAGATAAAGTAATACTCTTTTCATCGGTGTGTTTTTTTTCAGAGAGATAGCAAACGACGAAGTTGATCATCTGTTCGCGAGTTCAGATGATGATCACGATAACAGATTGTCCTACGACGAGATCTTGGATCATCACGATGCTTTCGTAGGTAGCGAAGCGACGGATTACGGTGATCATTTGCAAGATATCGAACGTTTTAACGACGAGCTTTGAGAATCAGCGATCAGTTGATTTAATAATACTGTGTTATCTCTCATAATACTCTTTGGAGATATGTATGATATAATTCGCAATATTTTTAATACACTGCTCAAGACAATAACAAGATCATTGTTTTAAAGGACTCTGTACATGGACCCAAAATGCCTGTATTTAAAAACTTCAAATACCATGTTTGTACAAGCACGTTTATCGAATATTAAAATCATGAATTGAGAAAAGATGTTGAAAACCTACTAAATCGTTATTCACGCAGCGAGAAATTGCTGTTCGATCGATGTCGATTCGACGTCATTTCTCACTGGGCATTTGAGAAAATGTTTTGAGCAGTATATTTGTCAATATTTTTTTCTGCATCGCGCTTTCAGCCCTTGTATCTGTTTCTGGTTATGCAGTCATTAGAATAAATTTCATTTAATGACAAATTGCACACGCAGGACTAGTGCAATTTACACATCTTGTATTGTATATTCACGACGATTCGTAGTATAGCACACGGACCATCGTCTTCCACTTTTTACCAAACATGAGTGCCATAGAAAATGTGGGAAGAAAAGTGTATTAGAGCAACAACAAAAGTCTCATATTTCTTCTTGCAGTTATACATATAGTGCGTCATTAAGTTTGAATTCCATCAATGTGTTATACTGTATATATTTATGATATAATACACACATGAATATACGCAATATTTTACATGTGTATGTATCGTATGTAAAGCACATTATCTCCTGATTTCGCGACAAAGTAAGATAATTTTTGTAGTTTATATTTAACGAATCTGTGCATTATTCTTATAAAACGAGTCTTCGACAAATAATATGCGCATTAATTTGTAATAAAATATTCTAACAATTCCACATTCTTCTCTTTATTTTCTAAAAGAATTCTCACATAAACTGTACGAGATATGCCTTCAAGTTTCAAACTGTGCATTTACGAGTTTGCTTTATAGTTTACAAGTATGGCAAAATCATTATAATTTCATTTTTCTGTACAATTAAATAATTATATATATATATGTGTGTGTGTGTGCGCGTATATTTAACATATGCACGTATGTGGTAACTTTATACATGCATTTTCCTTTTCCCTCCTTGTTGAACAATTTAAACTTGTCCAAATTACACCGTGGTCCAGATGGTGTAAAGATACAAGGTGAAGCAATCCGGTGGATGCGCAGTGTCAACCAATCAGAAATTTGCCTCAACCTTCGAACTGCAAATCATTGCGGTTGAATGCAAGAAGAACCAATGAACGTTTTGCCCCAAATTGATTACACGCGCAATGTTTCACCTTGTATCTTCACACCATGGTCCAGATGTCGTTACTGTCATTCTTGCCGCGTATTCGGTATTCAGTATTCACGTCAATTCGTGTGTTGGCGTCCTGTCGTGGTGTTGCTAGATTTATTACAATCGGTTTTTTCCGTAAATAAACGAAAAATAGAACAAAATGCCGTACGCTAATCAACCGTCGGTCCACATTTCGGATTTAACCGAGGAAAATGTTAAGTTTCAAGTGGAGGATACCGAATTAAGGTGAGACAGGTTAAGTTAGGTTAGGTTAAGCTAAGGTGTTGAACAACTGTAAATTAACTTATGATTAATACTTGCTCGTCAGCGTGGCGAACAGCATGAGACGCGTTTTTATCGCCGAAACGCCGACCATGGCCATCGATTGGATACAACTGGAAGCCAACTCTACCGTACTGAGCGACGAATTCTTGGCGCACAGGATTGGAATGATACCATTGATCAGCGACGATGTATGTAAATACATCTGCTTATCAAAACATTGAATATCTTTCACCTGTCCCAAAGGAAACATTAGTTAGCTATGTGTTATTAGTACAAGAATAAGTAACACAATCTTACCTTTCACCTATCGCAAGACATAGTTTGTTGGATACAAGAAAAACTGTTGTTGTTCAGGTGGTCGACAGGATACAGTATACAAGAGATTGCCAGTGCATGGATTTCTGTCCAGAGTGCAGCGTGGAGTTCACCCTGGACGTCAAGTGCACCGAAGATCAAACCAGGCATGTAACCACCGCGGATTTCAAGTCGAGCGACCCACGAGTGCTACCAGTGACGTCCAGGCACAGGGAAGACGACGCGAGCGAGTATGGAGAGACGGATGGTTCGTATCTGCTTTCTCATAATTATGGTTTTTTGTAAAAGAAAAAGTAAAGGAGCCTACGAGCTGTTGCGTTTGGAATCTTGTAGAGATCCTGATAGTGAAGCTGAGAAAAGGGCAGGAGCTGAAACTCAGGGCGTACGCGAAGAAAGGTTTCGGAAAGGAGCACGCCAAGTGGAATCCGACCGCCGGTGTAAGCTTCGAGTATGACCCCGACAATTCTATGAGGCACACTTTGTACCCCAAGCCAGACGAGTGGCCCAAGTCGGAGTACACCGAATTAGAGGAGGATCAATGTGAGGATAAGCTCCGTTAAAAATCCAAACTCCTATTGTTAAGCCTCGTGTCCGAGTTCTAGTATCGCGGACGTGCTGTAACATGAATATTTTTCCAGACGAGGCGCCGTTTAACTGGGAAGCCAAGCCGAACAAGTATTACTTCAACGTGGAGAGCAGCGGCGCCCTGAAACCCGAGAACATAGTCATGATGGGCATCGCGGCGCTGAAGAACAAATTGTCGAATCTACAGACGCAATTGAGCCACGAAGTGCAAAGCGATGCACTTAGCATTCATCATTAGAGATAAATCTTAGCTCGATCGTATTTAAAATTGAATATCTACGTAAAAAAGAAAATATTTTATCTTACATCTTATAAAATAAAATTAAAATCCCCAATATGTGTTATAAATAATTTACATCAAGAGCCATTTGACGCCAGCAGATAAATAGTCATGATTAATTAAGCAGTTGATCGACCATGACTGGCAATGTGTTTTTAACACAAAAAATTTATTGCAAAAAACCTGGACCTCTTCACTCTAGGCGGGAGTCTCAACCAATTCGACCACCGAGGCATATAAATAATTTAATTGTACAATTTTACACAGGAACGTAATTTTGAGAATCGCAGCCAAGCATTTGAAAAATTCGAGTCTGGGTGTCTAATTAGGGGGCGCTACAAACGCCGATGCAGGAAAAACACAGAAGTTTGGTAGCCTTGATATACGAGTCAGTCGGTGTTTCTCGGAATTCTAAGATGCTCGCCCGGAGCATCAAATCCGTAACGATTGTTCGACGTGCATTTCAGTAATCGGAACAACAATTTAGGTCGCCGATACGATACACGAAAGACATACATCTGATTCTGCGCCACACCGAGCGTTCCGCTCAATCGATTCGCTTGAAACTTGGTTAGGACGTCGGAGTTGAGCCGCTCGGAACGCGTAAGATAATCGAATTTTGTTAAAATGGCTGTGAAGGAGAGACACAGCGAGGCCTCGTTCGACGAGATAGAATGGAACGTGGAGAACGAGATCCAGCTTTTCTTCGCCATGAACGGACACAAGCCAGTCGGTAAGACGCGAAAGCCGGCGACGGGAGGTTATGTTTATCTTCGCACTCTGCGGTTATGATTTTAATGGATTGCTGGATTGTAAGGTATCAATAAACATTTCCACATGGTGTGCATATGGGAGAAATTCCGCGCTGCCATCCACAAGGACGTTCCCTTGAAGATAATTTGGGATCACTTGGAGTCCATGTACGACCTTATGGCGTTGGTAAGTGGCGATGCGAAGAAATCAAAGAGTTGAGATAAAAACGTTTTATAGCGGAACTGAAGCGGTTTAAGAACCGTGTTAAGAACATACAAACTTTAGAACGAGACAACTGAGGCTGGTATTACATTTGTTGTATGACAAATTTTTCAAGCATGATACGTCTCTGAATACAATACATGAATTATAGAATTCGCTTCTACAATATATATGAACTAATTAAAGGAATTTGATTATTAACACCTACTTAGCTCGATTTCAAGTTTTAGCCGTTGACCCTTTGATCGACATAAGTGTTTTGACTTATTTGTATTTTTAACGATACACTGAATCAACATATTTCGTGTGACATATACGTATGCACATTAAATGTTTTGACAGGATGACATGGAAGATTTACCTTTTCCCGGTCACGAGGTAGATTTCTCCTTGCCGGAGACAGAATTCGTGGGGAAGCCTCGGAAAAGGGAAGAATTAGAAACGAAGCTTAAGGACCAGAGGGATAAGTACAAAGAGATTAAGAAAGAAAAGGACGTCAAAGAGAATTTTAAGAAAGACAGCGTGTTGCGTGATTTTAAAGGAACCAAAGAGGTGGAAAAGAAAAAGGAAGAGCTAAAGAAATATGTGAAGGAGGTAGATATGCGAAAGGATAAGTTTAGGGATGTAAAAGAGACAAGGAAAGAACATAAGTCGTCGAAGGGTCGTTCGAAGGGCAAGGAGGATTCGGAAGAGAGCGGTATTTTAACAAACACATTATTATCTCGATTATTTAGTAATTTTTCTCGATAGATCGGCTGCAAATTATATTTCCATTTCTTTTAAGCATCGAACGGAAAGAAGGAGCGTAAGGATTCCGAGTCTGGTCGTGAACTCATGAAGAGGATCCCAAAGAGACCAACTCGACAAAGCGTGGACAGTTCCTCCAAAGCTTCCTCCAGTCCACGTGATACACCACCGCCGAAACGAAGAAGAATATAACAGTCATTTTCAATAAGAGAGGCATTATTACTCTTGTCTTACTGAGAGTCCCCATTGTATATGTATTTATCATATGGAATTATCGCATTATGACATTGTATTCTCTTGACGTGTATGTATATATAGATAGTAAGTTGATTTTGTAAGATTTGTACTGTGCTGTAAATATATAATTGTATCTTTGTTGCACATTGTATCTGCCAAACTGCCTTGTCTTCTAGTCGCGATGCTGATGAAAGATTTAGTCGAGGGTTAAGCCGCTGACCAAAATCATGTGCAACCAATGCCTACTAACGCCCAGTGGGCATTATTTTATCTTTACGATGCCCAAAAATGCCCTCAGCAGTTTACTCCTCGGATTTACTTTTGACACACGATATCTATTTAAAAAATGTAGAAATGAGTCAAAGCTGTCCACATTTCGGGATAATTTTTCTATATATTTGTTTTGTACATTACAATTTTTTTGTTCCACAAACTCCTCAAAAACAAAACTATCCATCTGTTAGTGCTTAAAAATATAGAATACTTAAAACGACGCGATTGAAAGGAATACATGTATCCAACATCAAAGGAACAAAAATAGAGATGTATTGTTACTAATCAGATTATGAGAAGTGCCCGGTTTAAAGCGCTTATCGTAGATATCTTAGGCTACGGTCGATGCAGGAAATACAAAGACAACACCGTGAAACTTGTGGTTACCAGCCGAGATTTATTACAAAAGTAGAATTCTCATGCGTCAGGAATGTCTCCAAGAAAACGCCGGATGATCCCGTTCCGCAGTATCTTCCAGAGACACGTACAGGCATGCTTGTTATCGGCAGTTAACGGCCTACGATCGATGATCCGTGGCCATGGATCGACCCGTGATCCATGATCCACAATCGGCAGCATCCCCCAGAAGCAGATGTTCGGCAGTGTTCATTGTCCATGGTCCATGATCCATGATCGACAACATCCTTCAGTAACACATGTCAGGAATGCCGATTGTCGACGGTCATGATCCATCGATGATTCACAAGCAGCAGAATCTTGCAGAAACACGTGTCTGGGATACCCGTTGTTGACGGCCTACGACCCGCGTCAGTCCACGGTCCACGTGCGGGCGGGATCCACGTTCGGGAAATGCGTAGCTGATGAGATCCAGTAGCGGCGGCTGGCAACCGTTTTTCTCCCCGGCGTCAACGAAGCCCCGCGTTATCGTAGCCTTCTCGCCTCGCGCTCGGACTCGAGCAAGGTTAGGAGGTCGCCCTCTCGCACCGGCCCCTTCACGTTCCTGATGATCTGCCGGTTCTGCTCGCCCAGGAACTCGACCTTTACCTGGGTGCACTGCCCCTGCGAGCCAGTGCGACCCAGGACCTTGATGACGCGCGCCAAAACGACTGGTTTATCCATATCGGTCGCCTCTTTCGCGTAATTGCAACTCAAAAGAGGTGTCTGACGAGAATGGCAGAGCCACGCGTAGAGAGAGCCTGACGAGCCGTTCGAGTTCTCGATATCTCCACCGACTTCCGGTGGCGGTGAGTCGCTACTATCGAAGTCGCAACTTCCGCCGTTTCATTCCTGTCGAATTTTATGTTTACCAAAATAATCTTTTTAAACGGTTTACTCGCTTTCATGCGTGACGATTTATCAAACAGAATGATAAAACATGAAGAATAAAATATTTATTACATACTTCTGCAAGTAACTTTGTAAATTCACCGATTACAGTCGCATATATTTATATTCGAGCGGAGAAAATAGCTTTTTTTAAATAACTAAAAATCGAAAGATATTGCAGTAATTTATTAACGATTTTTAATTAATTTCCATTTCTATTAAAATTGTCGGCATATTATTCGATTTTTCTTTATTAAAATGGTTAAAATGAGAATTGAGAGAGCAACATCAGTAACGTTAACGCTGCAAGTTTTAAACAGCTTGCTCAACAGTCTCGCGAGTGATGAATAATACAATAACCAAGTTACAATAAAATGTCATATTTTATATTTTGACACAAGTACACTATTTCATAATTACTTATAATAATTCATATAAATAACAGCTTGATACTGTAGGCAACAATTAAGATGAGCTTTCTTTAAGTCCCTCTTGTTATAGCTTTCATCGATTATCGGGAATCACTTGGAGTGATTTATCTCTGTTGATATTAACGTGAATACTTGCCAAAAATACTGCACCTCGCAATATTCATATACAGTGTCTTATGTGCCGCACGCTTTTTTCTCGACTACAGGTTCCCCGTTTTCCCCCCCAAATTAGATTTGAATTTTTGCGTATTGATATTCAAGTCGCCAAAAGTCATGTAGCATAAGGTTACTCTTTCATTCACATTCCCTGAACTTCTTAATTTATGAATTACTCTAACGCTATGTAGAACCTGTAAATGAGAAAATGTGCGCAATGCTTAGACAATTTGCATAATTACCATCATCGGTACTTTGAAAGACAGGTTGTGATTATACATCTAAGTATAGTAGTGCCTCTCACATACTAAATAAATTTATCTTCGCACATGAATAATGTATTAATAAAAACTGTTGTTCGCAGTACGTTTTACGATAGTACACAATCAATAATTTATATAAATTATATATGTATGTGTATAATCTAATTACATACCCGATCGCGAAGTATCTCTGAAACTTTTGTTTGTCGAAAGAACATTTTACAGAAGGTATGACCTTTTTATACATTATTCGATTGAACTTGACCAAGATTTGGTACAGCCAATCAAGATGCTTCGGAATTCTTAGCACCAGTGTATGACTTGTGGATTTCTTTTCGTATTTATAATATTGCCGAACTATTAAAATCATTGTCGCAACAGTAATATATTCTATACCTTACTCAAATGTAAAATGCATTATATCTTGCATTCATGTTACTCTGTATTTATTTACCAATATAGAATAAATGTGGACACATATTGCACGTGTCGGATGTATCTTAAAAATAAGTTAAAGATCCAAGTCTTTTCTCATCTCTAACGAAAAACTTATACATATGCATGTACATTCATCTTGATTTTTAATCATCGTTTGAAATCGGTATAATTCCAGTGAATTCAACTTTCGATGCTGTTCAATATGAGAAAATGTACTTTATGCCAATCGCAGTATTTCCATTTTCACGAACACCAATAAACTCACAAACGCATTTTAGCGTAACAATCGTAGCAACGAAATCCGAAGTAATCAAAATTATACCGGTTTTTCAGTGCTGACTCGGATGAATATTTTGTTGAAAATGGACCCTAGCAAATATTTTTATCGTAATTACAAAAAGAGAAACTCTTGTTACAGCAACGTAATCTGTACCACAAGGTACATATTTAGTGTCACACAAATAACTTGTCACATTCAGTCAGACTTCTTATTTTTATACAGGTTTCTTTTTCCCCCAACATTAACGTGATAGCTGGTGTAAGTTTTCAAACAAAAATATGTATCTACTTGAAGCACTATGAACATTGACGAGTTATGTGCTGAGACAGCATTCGAGCTCTTTTTTCCGTTTTTGTCTCCATCGTCAGTTCTATTACTTTCCGAAGCAACGTCCAATCAAAGGACATGGAAACGTTATTACATTTGGATAATAAACTGTCGACATTAGTATACAACACTGAATGAGATAATCAACAGGCTAACAATATCCGCAATAGTTTTACTGCCATAAGTTGGTGGAAAGAGTCTGCCCGGGTAGCGCGGCAGTGGCAGGCTTGCCCGTCGTAGAGGCAAAGTTCATATCGCCCAGAGTCATCTGCGACATTTGTTGTGGCAACTGAAACAGCATGGATTATATCATACAAATAAGATTAATTTAACGCAAGTATTATATCAATATTATACTTTGATGAAAATGTGTCACGTCATTTATATTCATCCATGGTAAAAACGATACAAAATTATGTAAATTACACACCAAACATCATTGAAATTTATACCTGAGCGGTAAATGCAGTAGTTTGTTGTTGCTGTGGTGTTAAATTAAAGAATGGATTGCTGCCAGGAGCTGGCTGAATATTCTGTGTCAGCATTCCACTCCATCCATTATTACTAGCAATATTAGTTTGTCCTAACTGCATCATCTGTGAAATCAGAGGGAAGAAACGGAGAATAAAAAGAGATTGCGAGGATAATTATTAATATAATGAATAATATCGTGCGAGAAACATACCATTTGAGGTGGCATTGTGATAGCAGCATTAGGTACACCGTTTAGTTGATTCATTTGTCCTATATGTAAGCCTAAAGGATTGGCTGCTACAGCACCTATCGAATTAGGATTCGCTATAATTTGATTTTGATTGACAGGTATCTGATTTGTGACCGGTATTTGCGTGGGAAGTTGGCCGAGTTGGTTCAACGAGCTTTGTTGCCCAAATGCACCCACATTAGGCATTTGCTGCTTATATGGTATGGAGTGTTGAGGATACACTCCCCCTAAAACATATATAATAAAATTCATAAGACTCTAACGTGAAATCAAAATTCGAAGGAATAAAGGATATAAGAGCCAAGACAAGATGCTAGTGTCTAAATGATTTTAAATTTATCGCACAAAATTTATATAATTTAGTGATTAATGTGATTATTATACTTATTAAATGATCTTATAAATGTTGCAAGAAAAAACACCATTTCTATCTTGTGCATTACCTGAGACACCATAAATCGCTGGTTGATGACTCGGAGTACCGTATAATGCTAAAATACTGTCTTTTGTCATCTTGCTTTTTTCCTGAGGTAGCGGGGTCGGTTGGTTAAAGAAGCTTTCCTCCTCGCTTTTACTTGCGACAGTGGTCGCTTTACTTCCATTAGAAGCGTCATTTCCGGTCGAAGCTAACGAAGCAGGCGGCGCAGATAAAAATGAAGAGAATACGTCGTCCCCAGAACCATTTACACTTGTTTGGTTAGTTGCTGGTGCATCTGTTAATGACAGTAACGTGAAGAAAGCTAATATTTCAAAAATTATAGCGTTAGACTTTACGCACATGGAATATGGTACGCAATTATCTTGTTTTCTGGTACTACATTAAAGCACAAGTTGTTAAATGAGAGCACATTATGAACGTATCAGATAAGGGACGTACCAAGACCTAAGAGATCGAGGATCGCGGAACTTTCTTTTGTTCTGCCCAGTTTAGGACTGACGGAACTTCGAGGTTTTGGTAATTGAGGCACTACTTCCGGTTTTTTTACAGGTGGGAGCACAGTGGTCGAAGCTTCCGAACTCTCCTTTTTTCGTCTGCGTTGTCTTTCGGCTTCTTCGTCAAGTTCTTTGTCCCAATTTACCTACGAAAATTATTTCGTTAGAGCGACAATATATAGAAGGTTACTTCTATACAAGTGTAAAAAATGAATTCAAAACTTCCGCATGTTTAAAGTTTATACATTTTCATCATAATATTATACATAAAAATAGAACAATAATCGTACTTTTGGCAAAGGAGGTGGCACCCATTCTCTAGCTATATATTTTTTATGTTCATACTTTGCCCGAATAAAACTTTCCAGGCTGCAATCCGTTTGTGGTCTTCGAAAACTATCCGGAAGATTGGCTTCGTAGACCGCTCTGGCAAGAGAATTGCCCATTTGTTGTAAACTCTAGAAATTTCAACTTGGTTAAATTCGTTAATACAATTAGATACAAATGTAAATGCGTAAAACACCAAGTTAATTACCAAATTAAACGATAACGAGCAAAAAAAATTAAAAATACATATTAGCTTCAAAATATTTCTTTTGCTTGTGTAAAATATATATTTAAAAAAGCATTTAAGATGTAAGTAAGAATGTATAAAAATTATACAATTTATCAACTTGCACAAATTTTTTCAACATATTTATTGAGCAGCAAAATAGAATGTTTCTAGACGCAGACTGCACATTGTAGATTAAGCTTAAAACTTCTGAACTGTACGTCCATTACATACCACTACTTGTTCCGGCGTCCATGTGTCCAAGTTAACAGACTTCACTTTGCTTATATGTACTCCGAGGTTTCTGTGAATACCAGCGCATCGAATGCACAAGAAAATTCCCAGGTTCCAGCTAGCCCATCTTGGTCCTGCAAAATGCAAATCGAGGACATCGTAAATGACGTAAATAATTCCGTTGCCCATTGAAGAGACACTTGCTAATACAAAGCGATAAACTATCAACAAAAGTGGCCCGTCGTGCTATCTAACATTCACGACTATTAATGATAAATTGTCAATACTCGATGGCGATATCGAGTCGCGCGAGAACGGATGCGTTTTTTTCGATCCTCGAGAGAACAAAGAAAGAGAGCGAGGGGACGCGCTCAGGATTTTCTCGAGGTGATTACCCGAGTAGGAGATGAGCGAAGGAACTCGGGAGGACCTTGACCGACGCGTTGACAGTGACAGCGCGCTGACAGGTATGTCACGCGGAAATAAAAAATCCATAACGTCTCGGCGCGTCACGCAGAGCTGACGCGTACGCACAGGTCGTTCCGGTGATCGATATCGACCAGTCGACCGCCGGAGGAAGGGCGGTCGAGATCGGAGGACTCGGGCCTCGCGAAACGGGGCAAACGGCGGGAGGGAGGAAGGGAGGGAAAGGCGCATCCATGTCGCGGGCACAGGAACAAACCTTTCGCGTCGCAGTCGACGCAGTACTTGTTATCCTCGTCGCGTAGCATCTGCGTCAGCAGATTCTGGCATTTCTCCTGGATCTGCTTGGCGCGCTCCTTCTCGTGACGGGACGTCATCCTCGCTGGGAGCGTCTTCGCGATGGGATCGGGCAACTCGGGGACCACGCGCGACCGCGACACCCCGGTGTCGCCTCCCCGCGATAACGCTGGACAAGAGCGCGGCGCGACGGTACCACGTAACGGGTCCCGCACCGCGGAGATTCCCATTGGCGGAGATACCGCTGCGATAAGTTCCGGCGCCTCGGGCTCGGGATTACCGACCGATTCTCCTACCGACGGTCGCTCGAGTATTTGGCGGGGACGGGGGTCGTTTTTAAAACTGACCGCGAATCCCCCTTATCTCCGCGTTCTTCGGTTCTCGGTTCTTCCGGGAGAATAAAAGATTATGTATGATGAAGGGTTTGCGACTCGAGTCGCAGTTTACAATAGTATCGTAGACGAGCTGTCGTCTGTTCGAATACGCGTGAAGATAGCGCGCGGTTTATCTCGTATAGAAAAATAATGGCCACGTTCAGCAGGCACAACGGTTGAGTGAGCGCTCAGTATGATTGGTTAATACTTTTAGATCCAGCCAATCATATTAAGAAATCAATGGCCACGTTCAGCAGGCACAACTGTTGAGTGAGCGCTCAGTATAATTGGTTAATACTTTTAGATCCAGCCAATGGCCGCGTTCAGCAGACACAACTGTTGAGTGAACGCTCAGTATGATTGGTTAATACTTTTAGATCCAGCCAATCATATTAAGAAATCATTGGCCGCGTTCAGCAGACACAACTGTTGAACGAGCGCTCAATGATTTCTTAACATGATTGGCTGGATCTAAAAGTATTAGCCAATCATACTGAGCGCTCACTCAACAGTTGTGTCTGCTGAACGCGGCCATTGAGCGCTCACTCAACAGTTGTGCCTGCTGAACGTGGCTATTGGTTAATACTTTTAGATCCAGCCAATCATGTTAAGTAATCATTGAGCGCTCACACAACAGTTGTGTCTGCTAAACGCGGCTAATCGCAGCTCGTATCAGACTACGGAATGAGGTTGAGAGTAGATTGAAATTTGACCAATTAGAGTAAACTTTACTAATCTCAAGTTTAGTGACTTTTGCTCTGATTGGTCAAATTTCAATCTAATCTCAATCTCAATCCGTAGTCTGATACGAGTTTAAAGCCCGTATCAGACTACGGATTGTGATTGGGATTAGATTGACATTTGACCAATCACAGTAAAGTTTACTAATCCCAAGTTTAGTAACTTTGATATATGTACATACAGGCCTGGGGCTCGATTCTTGAATTCATTCGAAGGAGAAACGTATGCGAAAATTCTGCTCCTCCAAAAAAAAAGTTGCAAGTCGATTGGCTATTAGCATGGTCTTTAACCAATTGACTTTCAACTTTTTTGTGAGGGTAGAATTTTCCCGTACGTTTCTCTCTCGAATAAATTGAAGAATCGAGTCCTTGTGTCCACGTTGCTAGAACTTGGTCCAAGTTCCAACTTGGAGAAATGTACAGCCAATCACCCTGCAGCTATTCCATAAAAGTTGTCGCCACAAGAATGGCCTTTTCTAGGGTGAAGTTTGTTGAAAAAAGGCCCCATTGTTGGCACGAGCGGCTCGGCGCGACAGTGGCGCCCTCGGACGGCCACCTCCGCCGCCACGGTCGGCCATGTTGCTCCGTCGCAGCGGTCATAGATGGCTACGTGAGAGTCAACAACCGGTTCCGGCGGAATAGCACACAATCGCGCTGTCGCGTTGCATCGTCGCCGATTTTCACGCTCATTCGCGGTGATTCGCGGTCCCTCGCGTCCCGACGTAGGTGTGTCGTGCGTCTCGACGTCCTTGCCGCTCTTCCCTCTTCTCCCCGTCGTCGTTTTCGATATCGCGTCGTTTCGGTTGCCCGCGGACCACCTCTCCCCGTTGTCCCGTCGTCCGGCGGAGAAGTCGCCGAGGATGAGCGCGAACAACGTACAGGCGCTCTTCGCGTGCTCCCGGTGCTTCTCTAGACATCCCTTCGAGGATCTCTCGCCCGGACAACAGTTGTGCAAGGTACGCGCACGCCGCGGACCTCTCGGCCGTTCCTCGCCGAAATTGCCTCGTTTCCCGAATCGGCGCGGACGGATCCGCGAGCGTCGAGACCATTCTCGAATGGCCCCCCCGTGTCGAAAGGGGGGAAACCGAAACCGCCGTGGAGCGGAATGTAGCGATCTATCACGTGCCGTAGGAGTGGGACTCTCTTGCCCTCGACATAATCCTCCACGGCGCGTCATTTTGCGTAAATACGTCGCATATGTGCAAGCGAGATTTCGAGATTGCGAGCCAGTAAGCCGCATCCTCCGCAGTTCCGGATAGTCTTTGTTTATTGTGCTACGCCGCCGAGTGTTTACTTGCGAGAAAGTATCGTTTTCAATTGGGAGTATTTCGCAGATTGTCAATGTTGTACAAACTACCAAGTATATTGTTGGGAGAATATGGAAAATTTTACTGGATATAGAGGAAAGTCCTCTATTACGAGACAGTAGGTTTTTAACGCCCAAACTCGATCACAAATCTTTTTTCGCAACGATTAATTTTCCACTAGATTTCACTCCAAGGGCAATAAATTCATGATGGAACCAGCAGACGATGCCTATTAATTTAGCAGAAATCGCACTGTCTCGTAAGACGGGACTTTTCTCTACTCGACAAATGCTTGATTATATTATTACGAGGGTTATTTGAACAGTTCTCAGGACAAGGTATTCTTCCGTCGAAGCTCTATAGAAAAACGAATCAGATATTGTTGGGAGAATGCAAAAATTGCAAGAGCTATTGCAATGTTATTACATGTTTGATAAAAACTTGTTGTGTACACAGGAATGCAGAGGAGCCTTTCCCGTAGTAAAATGTACATATTGCAGATCGGAATTCCAGCAAACCATGTAAGCGCGAAGGCAAATCACGCAAGAATCGCGCATAAAGTAAAACGGATGGAATTGTATTAATTTAATTGTTCCCACAGAAAGGGTAACACGAGCACTATATGTAAAAAGTGCGAGCAAAATGTTAAGTCTTATGGGAAGCCGTCGGCTTGCGAGTACTGCAATACCATTGCTGCGTTTATCGGCAGCAAATGCCAGCGTTGTACAAATTCGGAGAAACGCTACGGTCCGCCGGTTACGTGCGAACAGTGCAAACAGAAGTGTGCCTTTGATAGACAGGATGAGGATAAGAAGGTAATACAGAGGTGGTGTGGTGGCGCTTGTAGCTCTCAATATTTGAAGGAGATGATCTCTAGCTGTGCAATATGTATCTCTTGATATAGAAACTAAATGTATCGAAAACTTATCTTTTTCCCTTGATGATATATTTTTTGTTTATATACAATAGCGCGCGTTAGGCATTGCATGTTAGGAGTGCTCTTTTGTATTCGAGTGAGCGAGAGAGGTGAATGAGATAGAAAAGGAGGAAGAGCACACCTCAAATTTGCAATGCCGAACGCAGCTATTGACACACTCGCTCCCGTTTCTCTGAGAATGTACACGAATACTTGGCTTACATTTTCTAAATTTGGCCTACTACCAATCGTTACAACGTCGTTGCCTTCTTGATCTCATTCTTTAAAGTTTGATGCCTCGAGTATTCCTTGAATGATAATAAATATTGTATTTTATGAAAAAACTTACGGATGGAACAAATTAATTTTTAGTTAGAATTGTATGCACGTGTTTCTCAAGAATTCCAAGTACAACACTTCGTTTTCCCTCTTATTATCTTGACTAATTGAGAGTAGCTGTGTATGCTATTTCGCTACGATACTTATATTTTGAGTCCGTGCATTTGACTTGCTGTCACGACTTTTTTTCTTTTTTTAGAGAGCGAATAAGCATCAAGTGTAATTTCTACAGCTAAGACCTCTTTCTCTCTCTCACTCTCTCTCACTCTCTTGTTGGTACATGGTAATCAATTTACTCTATCGCAATGCTACTTAATCGGTTACGGTGATGTTTTGGTTTTTAGGTAGACGGCAAGTTATTATGTTGGCTGTGTACTCTGTCGTATAAGCGAGCGTTGGCAAAGACAAAGCAATCAGACGCGGAGAGAAGAGCGCATATGAAATTGGCGCAACAGCGGGCCGCAAAGCACAAAGAACAAAAGTAATTATTCAAATACGTAATATCACAAGGTAACTCTGTGCTTGGTAGCCTCAATGTTGCGCGTACACCACATTTGTTTTGAAACATGTCCCACGCGAGATGCGATATTCAATAAACACGCCTTTTCTTTTTTAAACTCTGCCTCGCAAGGGAATGTCACGATTGTGCATCTCACGCTTTCCGTTGCAGACTGAAGGGCCACAATAAAAGACCGCACAGAGTCGATGTGACAAAGCTGCCGCCGCAATTCGAAGGCGGTGACACAAACGGTCCCACCCCCGTGAAAGCGGCACGAATGGTCGGCGTGCACGATCACGATCCGAACAGCTCGGATCACGTGGTAGCGGTCACACAGCTGAAAGAAAAGATAGCGCATCTTCAGAAGCAAATCAGCATAAAAGAGAACCAATTATTAGCAAAGGATAGACAAGTAGGTGGAAGATTTGTACGCGAGTCGTTTAGACAAAGTGAACGATGCGTAACCGACATCTCGATTACAGATTACTGAATTGAAGGCGAAGAACTTCACATCCGAGACGGAATTGCGTAATAAGATGAAAGCCTCAGAGAAAGAGTACGAGACAAAAATCTCGAACATGCAGCACAAGATATCTAGTTTGTTGAAGGAGGTAGCGTCATTATCGAAAACGTCCAAGCGAGGTGATAGGGTGGCCGCAACCAAGACGGAGGCTGGGACCAACAGTGGGAGCGGAACGGACAGTCCCGTACCTTGATAAGGTAGGTATACCTGATTTTCGTCGTCGTCTTTGAAATGTTCACACTTGGATGGGACAAATATGTATGAAACGAAATCGCAATGGCAAACGTGAAATCGCCAAGTATCCTACAAATGAAAAGGCCCATTTCTCGTATTGTTTCCAGAGAATTGGCTAGCTGTGACAACATACTCAAATGATTGTACCCGTATAAATCATGTGATTATACATTACGCATATAGTTAATTGTTTCCATTAACAAGACGAAATCGTATTATTTTTCTAATTACTATAGGACTGTATATTATTCACACTCAATATGCACCAGAGAAAGGTATTCGTATCTCCGTTTAGGGGGGATCGATGATATAAGTGCAAAATTTATACTGATAATTTGAAAGTAGCTTTCTCCCCTTTTATTTTTCGGCGACTGCCCGTTTTGTGCGACTCGTTCGCCGGGAGTACCGACGTTTATTACGAGAGACTAGCAAAATTCTAATGAGAGACATTCCGTTTGATGCCACGAAGTCATGCGAAACCCCGTTGTGCAGACTTCAAGGCATACTCGGATTGATTGTATGTGGAAACAATAAGTGGCAGTGTAGCTGTGGCATTTTATTATTTATGAGAATGATGTAAACGACGCTAAATCAGGATATTATGACTTGTAGATCAATTTACAATAAAAGTTGAAAAACTTATTGTCCTGTGGTTCCACATATCCAGTTCTCGTCCATGTCCACGTCGTTCGTTATTCTTTTCCCCTCGTGTGTGTGATCGAATGGTGACTTGCGTCATTAGACGAGCATCGGTGGTAGAATATAAGTGGTATCGGATTATATGTAGGTACGGTAGTGATATGTGCATATAAATATCCAACAGCCATATATTTATTCTTTATTTTAAGAAACAAATGCTAATTGAGCATTACCTATTCAATAATTATAATGATAATAAATGCGTAACAATTTCACTATATATATATATGTATATATATATATATATGTATACGAAGTGTAAGGATAATTAACATTTAATTTATAGTCGTTTAAATACGTACGAGCGCGTGCACGCGTGCGCGCGCGTGTGCGTGCACGGTACAGTTGGATCGTTATCGTTTAATTACGAGCTGATAAGAACTAAATATTGCTTGTTTGTTCTTGAGGCGATTAGTCATCCTCGCTTGTCGCTTCCTCACGATATTTCACTACTTTCAGCGTATGTATGTACATTGTCTTCACCGTTTGCCTCTTTACGCGCTGCTCCCTTTTCTCTCGTTCTCTCAACGCATCGCTATTAGCGTTCAAAGTCCTAAGCGCCTAAGGTTTCTCCTCTAGCTCCGTTTTAACTTCGTTATTCGTAATAGTGCTCTCAAAATACAGGCAAGGCGGGGAATCGAGGCAATGCACAGGAATGACATTGCTCGGTCGTGAAGAACGTCACCAGGAACCGCGACCGTCGTCGAAGGAAATTTCATTATTGCTTGTAAACGCGATATTATTATGTAACGAGAGCCCTGAAGAGAATTTTTCGAGGTCGACGCCTCCACTTTGGCCCCGCGTGCTCTCGGTGCCGCTCCGCAACAAGGTAGGCGCCTCGCGGAACGACACCGGGAACACCCGCGCGGATTCCTCGCGCAACACCCGAGGAGTTCCTGGAGCGTCGTCACGGCAGCGTGACCTGGGTGTACCGTCGCTAGTACAGCGCATTTTTCCATTGCTCGGCATCCCGTAGAATGCCCGCGAGTCGTCCACGTTGCCCGGTTATTAAAGATTACATCAGCAAATCAGTGTAAAGGCCTTGTGAATCTACGATACATCGTCTCGCGTTCGTGTTCGCGGGCCCAGTTCGAACGCTCGTTAAACTTATTACGGTATAATTGCCGGAGGGGGTTGGGGAACAGTCGAGGGAGGAACTTTTCGTTCGAGTGCGTTCGACGGTGACCGGCAGGGGCAGGTGATGAATAGTACGAGGGGGGTAATAGGTGATTCGGGGTATGGAGGAGCCGAGGATCGTCACAGTCTCGCAAGGATCTCGCGCAACCGGCGATTTCGGCATCGGGGCGAACGGGTGGTCGCGTATTCCCGCTGTACGTCCCGAGGGATCAAGGATTCTAAAAAGAAGAAGAACGGGATTTCTTTGGATTTAAATTGTTGCGTAATGTCGGACGCGAGGGGGCGGGATCCTTGCGAAACCGAAGAGTACCTCGGGGATCTTGCGAAGGAAGCCGAAATTTAGGACAGTAACGTATTACACTCCCGCACTCTTTTAAAAATCGCACATTCTCGCACTCTTGCGCTCTCTCTTCCTTTCTCTCTCTCTCTCTCTCTCGCTTCGCACGGAATCGTATCGCGATGCACGTGACTCCTTAAACTCTCACAAACGCTCGATAGCCGTGTGTATATCAGTCTGCGATACGTCCTTTAGATTAGTATCTTTCCGGGGCGACGACTCGGAGATCTCGATCTCGCGTTTAGAAATTCGTGTGTCGTTCGTTAAAAAATTCTCTCGTGTTCCCCCGTCCTTGGCGACGACGAGGCCCCAGAGTCGTCCCCCGGTGAGAAATGAGTTGTTTCGCACCACGTACGGTAAGCTGCGCTCAGGATTAACTCGTTCGAGAGATCTAGCTTAGCATTAATGGAAGTACGAATTCGCCGAATTTGCGTAAAATCAAATGGAAGCTGCGGGAAAGGGCAGCATTTCCGACAATTCGTTCAATTAATTCTAGCCTTCTGCGCTATGTACAGAGGAAGCACGACTTAATCGACAAATTGATTCGCGCACGCGATACTTGATAAATCATTCATCCGCGGAGATTTAATAATCGATTTCGGAATATACATTTTGCTTAAGAAACGCCGTAATTGCACTACACTTCTCTCAAGACGTTTTGACTAGATTTCCTACCATAACTTCCGATTTTACAGACGATTGTCCTCTCCTCTTAAAAATTTTTATCGTTTAAAGCTACGGGTATCTTTATCAAACCGCACGATAATGAGGAGACATTTCTTGCGACAGAAACTTAATTTATACAAAATACATTCTGCTTCAGTTGACGAGCATTTAAAGAAAGATTCAGCTTAGCTGAAGTAAATGGAAATGTGCAGCGTGGAAGCTAATAGCATAGCAATATGACAAACACGTATGTGTTTATCGAGGACCAAAGGCCGAAAAATTACGGAGATAACAAGCGCGATTAAAAATTGCGGTGCACGATTTCACGTATATGATTTGCTTTTCGCTCCATTCCGTGATTAAAGCCCGAAAAGAGCGAGATCTCGTTATCGCTAGCTATCATCGTATCGACGAGAAAATAAATTCTCGACGTAAAATTTTGATAAATATCAACGCGATCGTAAATCTAAAATCTCTTGCCTAGGAATGCTAAAAGAACGAGCACTTTCAATGTGCTAACAAAGTTATAACTTGTATAAGTACCGATCGTGTCCAAAACACGAGTAAATAGAAGCGCACGTCGATAGTTTCAACGTCTTTCTTTTTACACACGCATCAATAAATTAATATTATCATTACTAAAATGTTTAAAAATAACTAATTATAAAATTTACTTCGCGGAAGTTAACGTAAAGCGCAGTCTACCGTCCGCCAGCTAACGACGACGGTATGCGCGCATGTATGTGCGTATACACGCAAGTACACATACGCATATACATGTGCACACACGTGTGTATATACACATATATAGGTATATATATTTATATGTATATATGTATAAAGGTATTCATAAATTAGAGCTCCTTATATTACTTCTTTTTAAATTATTGAATAATTAATAGTAATATTAGTATATATACAGGTACAGGTCTCGTATAGTTGCAGTCGTGTCGTCACTAGTTGTTCGAGTCTCTTGTTGTTGCTTCTTGCTGTTGATCGCTCGCGCATCGCGCGAACATTTATGACGGGTGCCGACAAAATCCGCCATTTTACACACCGACCTAAAATCTTAGCACGTCGAAGACTGCGAAATTTCGTTTTAAGAATTATATATATATATTTCTGCAACATAAATATAGCGCGCATTAAGAAACAATGATATATCTTTTCGTACGCGCAGATATTTTGGAGGGAAGTAAAATTGCGATAGAAACGATTACTTTTAAGACTATTCAGCTGAATTAACATTTGTTCGAATCGTTGGAAATTCGTTCGTCGTGGTGCGTCTTCGACGTGCAACTCTAAAATGCATCGTGGAAAAGTAATGGAAAAATCTGAATGACTTTGGTATCGTTGCTTATGCGACCATCCTTCCTACTTTTTCTGAAATGACAGCATTACGATCTTCTCAAGCGACTAAATACCTAATTACTTCGAACACCATTTCGCCCTTTCGTTGATAACGCTACGATAGAAAAAATATAGAAACGAGTATTTACAAGGATAATTTACAAGGAAGGAACTTTATGCGCGTTTCTAGACAGAACTTCGTCGGCTTTCCTAGAACAAAAATCCATCTTCCCTTTTTCTCATATCGTCTTCGGTTAAAACAACAAAGTTCTAAGTATCCGCTAAAAAATTAGGCGGTTGTTGACCAATCGATTGAACAACTATTACGCAATTAACAATAATTACACTACGGATTTATTATGATCATCTCTCGCGTTTGCTCGTTATTTTGAGAAATCATTCACAAATCGTCTATAATTTTGATAAAATATGGTCGGCTTATAGATAAAAATAAATAAAATAAATAAAATAAATAAAACCTAAAATCTCTCTTTTATTTCTATCAACATTCAAGTTTAATTTTCAAAAGTATTCTGACAATGCAACATAACAATTTTTTAATTGTAAAATATTGAAGGTAATAAAAGTTATAAAAACAACAAATAAAAACATTTTTAAATATATTATTTTATGATAGTATTGCGTACGCGTATTTAAAATTAGAAAATCTCTTTGAAAAAAAAATTTTTTTAAATAGAGTTTCAATTCTAAAAAATTGGAATATTAATAAAAACCTATCAAAGAGTTATTTTATTGTTTTAAAAATGTACAATAATTTCATCGAAATCAGGAAGGAAAGCTTGCAAAGATTTCGCGCGCGACATTATATGCGAAAGCTCTGTTCTTGACTGCCATTTCAAAGAGGGAAAGCTCCCATCTCCATTCTCTTTTCTAGTCAGCCACGAGCAACTCTCTTACGTTTCCACGATTGCATTTTGCGCCCGAGCGGAAGGAGGCTCATACCCCATCATGCGACTTACGTACTTATGTACATAATATTATGTAATGTACTTATGTACACTCGATAATGTGTGGCTGAGATGTTTCTATGACGCTCGGCCGGCCCACGGAATTTTCCAAATTGTGAAGCGACGTGGAGTGCGGACCATGCGTCGATCCATGCCTGTCGTAATTATCGATGTGCTCCAACTCGCATTCCTTGGGCATATTTCCTGCAAGAATAATATACCCGTCCAGCGTTGTCCTCGTCCTCTTATCTAATGTCTAACGCATTTATTCTGCTTTTGAATATTTAATTCTTTCCGAGGGTCTGAACGATAAACTTGCCAATTAACGTGGATTTTCACGTCTTAGCGACGTGCAACAATGAAAGATAAGCTGATTCTTCATTCTACTTTGATTGTAAACTTATCGAGAGTTCGTACTTACCAACATTCATGTCAGGACCGTACTCGTAATACGTCGGCGAACCCACGGCCGCGGCAAGCGCGAGCTCGTCCTCGATGTTGTTTGGTCTGCAGCTCGTTGTCTTCCAGTGGGTCCTGAGGCCGCTCGCGCTAATGTACTTTTTGTCGCAACCCTGGCAGGTGTAGGGACGTTCGTTAGTGTGCAACCTCTTGTGCAGCTTCAAATGAACGAATTGGGTGAACTTGGCGGGGCAAAGGTCGCAGGCGTACGGTTTTTGACCGGAGTGCAGTCTAAGGTGGGTTTTTAGATTCGAGGTCGAACTGAACCTCTTCTTGCATATCTCGCATTGGTGCGGCTTTTCACCTGAGGACAGTCGCATTGACAAATATATTATTGTCTAAAGTATTTGGCAACAGATCTGACGATAATACTATTTCTCATATTTTCAATCGAACTTTGGATAAGCAAGTTTGTCACAACAATACCCCCTTTGTTTCCTGTGCTTAGGAAATACGCGATCAGACGTGAACAAAAGAATAGAAACTCTTTATTATACAATATTGTACATATCAATTAGTTACGTGCTATCACCAGTAATATTATACAATATTCGTAATATAATATAGAGTGCTGTTACATGGCACCCTTAATCGGATTTAATAACATCCGTACACGGAAAGACCGGCTAAGGCAAAAATAACTAAAATAAAAATGTTGCCGTATATATAGTAGGGGCATCTACATTGTTTAGTGTTGCAACATTCACTAAGTTTGCTGCACAAAACGCATATGGTTGTCTCCACTACTTATCATACCAATGTGGGTATGACAACCACAGATATAGCTGTCCGATATATTACTATTTACTTATGGGGTTGTGTCAACCCTAATTAGATATGTGGTAAACCATATCGGTCTCTCCGTGTAATTATAAAACTGACCAATCGCAACTATTCCTCAGAAGAATGGAATGACTGTGATTGACCAGCTCCTTAATTCCGAATGTTATTAAACCCGATTAAAGGTGACATGTAAGTGTAGTCATTGTTGTGCCGCGAGGGGCGCAGGGTTTTTGGGATCGTCGTTTTATATCTTGCTAGGGCTCGGAGAGCCGAAAAAGAATAACTCAGTAGTTTATACTCGCGTCTTAATTAAGACTGACCCGCCTTGTTTTCTTCCCATTCGTCTTTTATACTTTATTCTTGGACGATTAACCCGGTTTAGTTGAAGAAGTGGGTGATTAGGTCATTGCTGTGTCTGCAATGTCCTAATCGTTATGCGTGTTTCGGGAATTGCGACATTCGATTGTGCGTAATCTCAAGGTTTTTTTCAAATGGCACGCGTGCAGCATCGGTACGGGAACCGTAGCTGTTTTGCTTATCGTTGCACTTGGCAAGTGTTATCTGACACTTTGCTGCTTGCAACAGCGTTGTTACAATATCTTTGTCAAGTTATTGCAAACTCGGAATACTGTATACAAAAAGACGGAAAGTAATTGTTAGATACTGATTTAAAAGAGCGGTATAAATTTCATAAAGACATTAACTAAATCTACAAAGAGCAAAATGAAGATCTTGTAAGATATATATGTTGAAAAATGGAGGTTCCACTTTGATTGTTATTCCGGCAATATGTCAAGACTAATACACTTTGATTGTTATTCCGGTAAATATGTCAAGACTAATACTCGGACTAGTAAGCTTACCGGTATGCACGAGATGATGCTTCTGAAGGTGCGCGAGTTGTGTGAAGCTCTTGGTGCAAACATTGCACTTGAAGGGTCTCTCGCCGGAGTGCGTCCTCAGGTGTACCTTGAGATTCGATAGCTGACCGAAGGTTTTGCAGCAGACGTTGCACTCGTAATGCATCTTGCCGTCCTTCTTCTTGAGCGGATAAGGTAGCGACCTATAGCCCCTCGAGCCCTGAGAGTTGGGGCTGAGGGAGCCGCTCTGGGAACAACCGTGGTCGTCCGGCGACAAGGAGCTCGGCGAGTATCTGTTGAGAGACGACGAGGAGTTGGGGTGAATGGTGAGACCTGGATGGTGGCCGAGGTGGAGATTGTGCGTGCCAGTGATCAACGCTTGGTTACTGTCGATTTGCATGGTCGACGAGGTGGGTAGCTGATGGCCGCCGCTGCTGGTGGCCTCCAGCCGCCTGCCGTCCGTGGTCCTCTCGTAGACGACATTGCCGCTTGGCGTGGGCGAATAGGCGTTGCAATTGATAGACAATGACGTGCCCATGTTGTGGTGCAACGAGCCGTTTTGGTGACCGTACAGACTACCGTACGGACTGTAGGACGAGGGCGATTGAATCGGCGAAATTGGCGAGACGCTCTGATTGCTGCTGCTGCTGCTGCTACTGCTGCCGGCGGAATTCGGGTAAACTGGACTGGCAGATTCGATTTGACAACCGGTGGCCCCTGAGCTGCCGGAGTAAAGTATCGTGGTCGGGGTGGGTACTCCGTTCTGACTCGACGACGGCGACGGCGACTTGGTCTTCCGCTTGGGCGGACAACCGTTCGCCGTCGTAGACGCCAAATGCGGGCTGCTGCTGGACGTCAGCATCGTGCTGGACGAGAGTACGCTCGTGCTGGAATGTATGCTGCCGCCGGCGTTGCTGGACGAGTGCAAACTTCCGGGGTGCGGCGGCAGACTGCTGTTGCTTCCGCCGGTGCTCGAATGCGGACCTCCTGTGCTGGAGTGCAGATTGCCAGTGGGGCTCTGCATGCTAGGTAGCGCGCCACCGTTGCCGCTGGTCGAGTTCACGCACGAGTCTGTTTGTAAGGGCAAGTTTGAGCTGGAGTCCGGGCTGCAGGGCAAAATATTTCCGTAACGATGGGACTTTTTGTAAGAATACGCCATCTCGGTGGGGCTGGAGGGTGGCGGCGTCACTGAGTCTACGTGAGTCTGATGGTGCACCTGATGATGGTGATGGTGCTGTTGCGAGCCGCCATTGTGATGCTGATGGTGGCTGTTGTTATTGTTGTCTGTGCTGTTGCGCAGCAGAATGTTCTCCAGGATAGAACTACTGGGGTTGGCTAGGTAAGCGGGCCTGCCAGACATCGGCATATGACCACTCTTGACCTCCGGCTCATAGAAGAGTTTCGTGTTCTTGTCGGATATCTCATCCTCTGTCACGGTCGACAGCACCGTACTCTTCTGCAGGATGATAGGTGATACCGGTTTCTGGAGTTCCGGGGTGATTGCCCGACTGGACAACTCCTGGTCTTTGTCCTTCGTTGGGCCGTCGGCTATACATTTCGTCGTCTGGAAGTTACCGTAGGTCTTGGAGATCTTAATCTTCACTTTTCTGTATTCGTTCTTCGCTGCAGTGTTGTCTTGCTTTAGAATCTCGTCGTTGCACACCGACGATTTGGCATTCTTACTAAAATCCAGCACGTAATTGTTCTCACTGTCGGACTCACTGCTTTCCTCAGGTGGTGTCAGGATCTCGTCGTGATAGCCGTTTGAATGATAACCCTCGTCTGACCTCACAGAACCATCCGTTGGCGTCATCTGACGCCTCTCGTAGATCGACGAGTCTTTCAGTGGCGATATCACGTCGACGGCGGGCGAAATTTCCGTTGGTAGCGTTGATTGTTGTACTTGTTGTCCTGAACAAATAATTGATAACGAATATATCTCAATCTTTTCAATATATCGTTATATTAAGTACAGGCTCACGAAACTGATCAAATCGTACCATTGAGGAAAAAGTGTATAATAAAGACAACATTGTTCTAACGAGTTCACAATACGAGCGTTCATCTGTAGTAATAGAACACAATAGTAAAATTTATTTAAATAAGAATAGGTAAAAGCCAACGGGCGACGTTCACGAATATCTTCTGAAAATTTGTGCACGAAGATATCTGTACCAGGATCATCGATATTTATTTGTTAATTTTATGTTAATTATTTAAATAAAATTAGAGTAACTCATACAGCAAAGAAAGGTTTAGGCATATGTCTGAGAAAAATGTTGCCTGCTGGATTTTATCTATTCTTATATAAATAAATTTTACTATTGTATTCTATACTATAGCCGAACGCTCGTATTGTGAACTTGTTAGAACGTCTTTATCATGAACTTTCTTGTTAATACCTACTCTCATTCCGATATAAACGCAAAATAATGTCTAACAGATCGGAAACAAATGTACACTGAGAAAAAAAAACTGTTGAGTCAAGAACATATTTCTTGATTCAACTATATATGCTGCAATCACGGGCTGTCAAACAAATATTGGTTAATTCATTTAAGTAAATATTTATTAATGAAAACTTATATATATTTAAATAAATTATGTGTATGTTTAATTGAAAAACACATATATTTGACAAATTAATAAAATTCGTATGGCTTAAATGTGATAAACACAAATATGAAGGAATATAAACGACTAAGAGTCGTGACAGGGTGTTAATGTCTAAATATTTTATTCTAAATTTATTGCGAAAAAATAGTATAGGATACTCTGGCTGAGGTGATATTTTTTTCGCAATAAATTTAGAATAAAATATTTCGTCATTAACACCCTGTCACGGCTCTTAGTCCTTTATTCCTTCAGATATATATTTGAATTAAAGAAATACTGTTAACTAAACATATTTAGTAATATCAACAATTTTTTTCTCAGTGTAAGGAATGAGAAACACTGAGAAAAATGTTCGCTACCGTAGCTAATCATGGTTTGCTCAAAATATTTCGCTGCCATAACTATACATTTCTAAACCACAGCAAATGGTTTGCTGTCGCACCAAATGCAATGGGCACGTAGCAAAATATTTAGCTATCACAGCTACATATTAGCTGTGCATATTTTACAAGTGAAATTTACTTGCCACATGCAGGTTTTAGCTACGGCAGCTACATTTTTCTTTCCGTGAAGCAGTGCAGAAAAAAAACTTATTTTACGAGCTTACAACAGAGACAAGGATTTCATATACGGACATTGCACTATATACATTTTGGAACAATTCTCGTATCTATTATTTTACCTATCTGCTTGTTCCGTTGCTTATGAGTTATGCTATCACGTAGGATTTTATAGGATCTATTTGTCGTTTGCTGCAACTTTACTTTACATTGTAATTTGCAAAATCGCGTCAATGTAGCTAAGAAATTCTTATGCGACACCAGTTAACATTTACGTAATCATAATCTTTATTTTCTAGAAAAGATTAGCCGTAAACATAGATAAAACTATATCGTGAAATACATTGATAGAAATGCATGAATAATTAAGTGAAATTTAACACAAGTTATAAACGATGGTCTCCTTATAGCACTAATCATTTTAATTTACAAAGTAGTACATTGAGATTTCGATTTGTGCATTAAATTTCCATGTTATGATCTAATTTCCACGTTATATTAGCTTAAGGTGAATATATGTCTACTTACGTATTCTCTGAAGCATCAGCTCTCCGGTGAGCGGATAATTGAGCCTTTCCGCGAATTCCCTGCAGTACCAAACCAGCAACTCTTGATGCGGTAATATCGGCTTGATCGTGTAAAAATAAATGTTCATCTGAAACACGGCGGGTAGCAACAATTGTGAGCTTTTTCTCTGCGCATAATCTAGACGTGATTTAAAATGTATGCTCCTTCGCAAGATGCTCTCCGCAAGATTGCTTTACCTTATACTGGCATGCTATTAGGTTTTGCGATTCGGACGAGTAGGCGGGATTCACGTAACGCATCCAATTCGATTTCTGGACGTCATAACCGTCGATGTAATAGAACAGCTCGTTGTTCTTGTATACCTAGGCAATATGAAAATCACTTTTATATTCGCGACGATTGAAACGTTTCCGTGAGAATACCATTACGGTTGACGGATTTTTAATTACGAGCATGTATTCATTGTTTATAGATATGTTCCAATCATATCTAAAAAAATGTGGACATTTAAAAATATATAAAGGTATAAAAATAGCATTTAGCTGATTAAACAGCTCGTTCATTGTTAGCCCATTCTTAATAACGCAAAATCAATAATTACTAATGTATCAGTAACTGATGATATATTTTCTTAATGATTATCAAGAGTGCTTGATACTATTCTTTCAATCAGGTTCACAATCCAAATCTTTCTAATTATTCTGCATGTTTTCTCTATCGCAGATACACGCACAAATTTTCTTATTATGATCAGAAAACGCTGAATTATTATTACAAGAAAATACTAAAAAACTGACTAACGTTTGCGTTCGTTAGCTCTCGTCACGATTTGTGTATATCGTGTGTTTCGTGCAAAGATCATTGAGGAATCGAGTAATCGTCGTAACGAATTGATAAGTTACGAGGCATCAACGGCTTCTCGCTAGATCAGTTGAAACGAGTTTCTGGCCTTTGCTGGCTTCTCCTTCCTAGCTTTTTTTTCTACGTTTTCTTTCTTTTTCAATTTTTGCTGACTTTGTGTCGAATCTGTCTACGTTAACGGCCTCGGCGAAGAGTTCTTTACCGCGAATAATTTAAACATTTGGGTTATAAGGGATGTAAAATTGACCTTACCCGCCAGAAATACTTCCGGTTCGCGTCCGCCGGTACCGAATCCTTCGTGTACACCTGGCCGACCAGAGGGCCGAAACGTGTCCCTTTGGGGATGTAACCGGTGCTCCACACACCCAACACCTGTCACATATGTAATTTCCGATTAATTGAGTCGACTGAAATTGAGGGACGATGCATACTTGATGCTTAAATATCAATTTAGTCTCTTAGTTCTCATATATCTCGTAATTTATACATCCATCAAATTTTATAATCGAAATTTCTCTCCAATAAATGTTGTAATATTTTATGATTTGATATAAATTTTTTATTTCTTATTTTTCTATAAAGGGCATGGCAAACGTGCAAAAAAGCAAATGGAGTAAAAGGAATTAATGAGCAGTCATAAACAGATATTTGCGATTACATTTAATTTGGAATGGATTTGCAGTTCGAAGGCCGGCAGAGAAATAGCACTACCGAAAAACTTTTCTTTATGTCTTTAGGCTTCGTCCAGGAAATCGCAAAAAAAACTAGGAAAATGTATGAATGATCGGTAAAAACGCATTGTTTGCTTACTCCGATATTCTCATCGCCCGTTCTCGTCTATTCCGGCGTTGTGTTAAAATACGCGAATATCGGCAGAAGATAGAACCTATTTTCATTCCGGCTCACGTTAGAATAGAATTCGCCCTATTGCATAGAAACGTCCATTCGGCAAAACTAATTTAACTCTTCGGTGCTTTCAGTCCAGCGCGCGCTTCCGATGCTTTTGTTTCTCTTTTGACAAACGGAAGCTCGACCGACGGACGTCGATTAGCCCGTCGTGCGCTTCTTCTTCTCAATATATTACATCGTTGCGATTCGCGAACGTTTCGGCTTCCACGCCGGACTCGAAATTTCGTAAGCGGCATAGAGAGGCTTCGAACAAAGGTCTCGCGCCGATTACACCGAACGTTCTCTATTCTCGCCGCGCTGAAGAAAGTGTAACGCGATTCGACTTCGCCGCTAGGTCATGTCTGGTAAGTTAATTAGCCGCGTCTCTCGGTCAAGTTTGATTTCATGGCGTCGTTCGGCCAACGCCTTTTGCTTCATATTTCACGTCGTATCTGTCTAAAAAACTTATCTAAAAACCATTTTCCTCTGTCAATCATTGAAATTCATATGTCTATCTCCTTTCATGGAGCAACGTTTGATGAGAAATTGGAACAATTTTTTAAAATTATTACTCTAATTATGATACTCAAAGTAAAATCAAAATTAAATAAATTAATATTGGAAGAGTTTGTTTTCAAATTACAACGGATAGAAAACAGAACTTTTATGGATAGGAGACTAACAGTCTATCTCGAAATTTCTACCAGTGCTTGTAGCTTACGATTAATGTTGCTCGCGTGTACTAATATCTATTTAAATTCTAAAATTTCTGCAATTTGATGGATTAACGTTTCGCTTCAGGGGATTACGATTTTTTCCGGAAATTATCAGTTTTCTCGCGTGACTTTGCGCGAGTTGCTGACAGCGAAAAATTAGTAATGTTTATCCGCTCGATGCGATTCGCGGCTAAACCATGCGGCTTTTACCGAGGTAATTTCGGAATAAGTTTCTTCCACGAGTGAACATACATCGTTGAGGGCCTGAGAGGGTTTAAGGACCAGGTTCCGTGGCAAGGATGCCTCCGCACGATTTGTATCGCCCGGCGATGCCGACACATCCGGTACCAAATATACGGCATGCTGCTCGAATTCTTCCTCCCTCAAGGTCGTGTGATCCCACTCGCTGGCCTCCATCCTTCGCTGTAAATAGAATCGGAAGCTTTTGTTAATTTCATTCGATATTGACAAGATTTCGCGAAAACATTTCCTAATTTTTCCTTCGCTCGAATAATGTAATTATTTTACTATATTTGACGTGTCTAGTTTACAGTGGACACAACTGTACAAATTAGATTTACAAAATTAATCAAGATTCCACGGAATCTTATACACACACTTATCGCAAGATCTTAAATTTTATGAGTTGTAGCAGAAGCGACGTTTCAGCTTAGAGACTCTTCCACGATCTTAGGTAATAGAAGCTAATTTATCCCCGTGGCAGTGCCCTCCGAAAAGCTGCGTGTAATCGAGTGACGGATTAAATGTCCTTTTAAGCGGATTATACATTAAGAAGGCTTCGAATTTTTACAGTATGTTTTGAGATTATTAATTCTATCATATACATCGTTGTCACACGCGTATTATCTATCACCCGTTATTCGATCTTACTTGCTAACGATGTCTGGGAAACAAACGCGTACATTCCATTCTCATCCGTTCAATAACACTTGGAATGAATAATCGAGGCCTCGCCATTGATGCCCACTATTTTTTACCCATGTTGTTTTTTTTATAGACTTACGTTTTTTATTTTTATCAACGAGCAAACACTCGATTAAGCTCAGGCGTCATCATTAAATCTCGCAAAAGTTAACCGGCGCGATCGTTATCGAAGGAATAATTAAAAGTCCTGGCGGTGCGCAGTTCTATTTCTTGCTTCATGTATTCGCGCAACTCCGGGAAATGATAAATTTGCAATAAACTCGAATCGAAACACGAACTATTTGGAACCGATCAAGTTGACGTAGAAATAAGCAAGAAATGAAATTAAGTCAGTTAACGGTCAATAATGAGATAATTCCTCGATTATACATCTGTTTTCTGCAATTTCTTCGGGTTGAACGTTTTTGTTCTGCATCTAAACAGTACTCGAAATAACGTGTGATCAATGATCGCGCAAATTCGAAATAATACCATCCGTTCACGTGCAGCCAGAGAGATTGTTAAAACGTCGAATTAATATTACAAAGAATTTTCCGCGAATATCGCATAATTGCCGGCGGGGAAAATGTCATTGAACGAATCGCGATCCAGTTTTCTCGACAGTGCCCGACTCTTCAATTTGCGGTGGTGCAACACTTTAACACCGCGAAAGTGAAACCCGTCCACGCATTGATCGACTGCAGGGGTGGGAGGGAGGGAGAAAGGAAGGAGAAGCAGGGGGTGGTAGGGCGGACGGGGGCATAAACTCCGAAGTCCTCCCCGTCCGCTACCACTCGCCGAGGGTTTTCGCTACCCGGTGGATTTCGATTTCCATGAAAATCGCGCACCGCCGGTATCGCAAACCGCTCGCTCGCGTATGCTTTCGACGCGATTTTCCGACCAAAAGCGTTTTATCACGTTCCCGAATTCTCGGGGAAATGGATTTCTTACAAAATAGATATCGCACCTCACAAACTAATTCTTTCGCTGAAACATAATAAATGTAAATTTACTCATGAGAGCTTCACGATTTTTGGGCAGCGTTTCGCGATTCTTTTTAAATCAATACTTCACGGACGATTTCCTTTTCACAGGTGCGTAGTTTAGTTTCTCGATTCGTTCGCCATGGACAAACAATCGGTTATTTTCACCCTCCCGGAATATTGATTTTTATATAGCTTCTTTGAAAATTGATGTTCATATTCAAAGACCTGAGCTTTTTGATTTTTTCCCGTCTCGGAAAACTAATAGCACGAATATTGTACAATGCGGTTTTCTGCCTTGGCGCAGAAATTTCTTTCTCCATTATTTCACACACACACACACACATTGCGTGTGATATTTATTTTTCATCAATTTTCAATTATTTATGTAACTGTCTTAGTCTTTTAAAATGGAAGAATTAATTTCTTATATCATAGAATTAACTAACCGTTTCTCGATATAATTAACTTAAATTACTGCTCTTAATTAATATTTCTCGCTATTCCGGTATTGTATTTTAACACAAATTGTAACAAGCTCTCTTCCTTCTGAAACTTTCATCTTGCGATAAAATTCCCAAATAGAAAATGTGCAAAACTGCAAAAACTGTTGAAATAACACGCAATGGATTATATTTCACACAAAAGATCGCTGCACTCACAACAACACAGAAATTGCAGCCGCGACAGAATCGATCCCTAGCGAAAGGATATATATGATATTTTAGTCGGTTGCGTTACGCGTTGCGTTACGAATTTCCGATTCCTTTATGTTACATGCAATTATTAGTCTTTTTGTAGTAAGAGTAATATCTATTATTTCAATTTCTTATTATCTGTTCGTACAATACTCCATTAAATCTATTCGAAATCATCTATTGGCTTTTCTCTGGAAATTTTTGTTAAAATAATTATTCGCGTATAAAATTGAAACGTACATATCAGAAACGTTATTTTTCCACTATTGTCAAGTTTGGAATAACGAAGGGCTATATACGCAGAACTCCATTTTTCTCACCACTGTTAGTTCCGAGGCGGCGGTGTCGGCTGCGTGCATCCCCGTATTTTTCGCACTTTAGACTCCAGAATAGCAAAGGACTACTCGAAAATCGGTATTTTTCTTTTGGGCCCTCACACCGACTCTCTTACAGCATTGAAACTTGACGAACGCCAAATGTATTCTCTTCCTCATAGTTTGCAGTACGCGTTAACGTTGCGCGAGCCGGGCTTATAGTACTCACGGCTTTCGGATGTTGGCAGATAAACTCGACGACGATAGTGTTGTTCTTCGAGGTGGAGATGCATGTAGGTTCACCACCCTGGCTCACTCGGAGAACACCCTCTCCTGTCGCGATCCCTTCGCCGTTGCGCGACCGTGCGTGCGCGGTGCGAAGGGCTCAAAATCGTTGCGGGCCGGCGGCCGCCCTTTACGTGATCCTGTGGTTCCTCAGGGAGACCGGCATCGCGCCGGCCCCGGTTGCACTTAGGGCCCGATCCTCCTGGCCTCGCGCTAGCGGGCGACGCAGGGCGCCGTTTACCCTCAACATTTATCCAGCTCGATCTGATCGCGCCGAAGGGGGTTGCACGGAGGACGAGGGCGAGAAATTACGTCGGTAAGGCCGATCGCTGCCCCGGCTCTCGCTGCCTAGGCGGTCCCTACGCGGCCACCTACGCGCGCCGACGACGCTTATCGATTATCAGGACATCGGAAAAAGGGAATTGCAATCGATTCCCACCGATCGCCCGACATTTCCTTGTCCGTGTCGCCGTCGCGCTCCTTGTTTGTCAACAATGCCAATTCTCGCCGCCGTCGCCGCCGCTGCCGCCGCCGCCACCGAGCGAATCGACGATCGGAGTCACCTCCTAGGGGAAGTCGCGTTTCTCACTTTTCTTTTACTTCCTCCACCTTTCTCGGGTGCAAATCGATTTCGGCTCAAGACTCAAACACACACGCGTCAACACTAGCGATTATTCACTACCGATCAGGGTATCTCTCTCTCTCTCTCTCTCGTGTTATCCCTCTCGAAGTGTCATCCGACGACGCGCACTGTCACCGGCTTTCCCAAGCGATCACACTCTTCGGCACCGATCTCCCGCTGTCAAGACGCGTACCTGGCGAACGCGAACGCGCAAATTACCTCCTTTTTTTTTCTTTTCGAAAAATGTCGAGCGCTTCCGGAGAAGCCACTCGCGGAAAAACCGGGAATCCGCGGCGGTCCTCTCCCTCGCGAAGGGGTTGCGCCTCCGCCTTCGTGTGGTTCTCCTCGGCGGGATGGCACACGCAAGAGAGCGCGGTGTGTGTGGAACTCGGGTAGACCTGACCTAGCCCAACGCGACTCGGCTTGGCTCTCCTCTCGTCCTCCTCCTCCTCCCCCTACGTCGGTATTGGTCGGCGGATATACGTCGATCTCCCTTCCGCTTCCGTCAGTTCCTTTCTCTCTCCCTCTTTCTCCGTCTCTCCCTCTCCCACGCCGTCGTTCTCTTTCTCTCTTTCTGACGCACGCGGACGCGGTGGTGCGCCCGCAAAGCTGCCAGACCAGAGCAGAGGTGGTGCATTTCTCTGCGCTGCGCTTTCGATCGACCCGTTGCCAGAGGCTCCCCCTCTCTCTCTTTCTCTCTCTCTCTCTGCCTCTGTTTCCCCATTTCTCTCTCCCGCTCCCTGCCTCGGTCCTCGCCACCCCGAATCCTCCCGTTCTTCCCTCTGTCCGTCTCGCTTCACCGTACGCCACTTTCCAACCTCGTCTACCACCCCGATCCACTCCCCGCTCATTGCTCTTCGTCCGTCCCTACCACCATTCTCCTCCTCCTCCTCCTCCTCCTCCCCCTCCCCTTCTCTTTTTCTTTCGTGCATTTCCCTCTTGCATCCTTGTCTCATCGTTTACCGCTATACCTTTCTCGTCTCTCTCTCTCTCTCTCTCTCTCTTCGGTCTCCCATTACCCCTTTCAACCCACCGCCCGCTTCGACGCGCGTGCAACCAACCCCCTTGGCGCACTACCCCTATTCCAAGCGTCGCTTTCTCCCTTTCTCTCGCCGTCATCGCGTCGCTTGTTTGTTCATCCCTCGTTGTCGATGACAGCAGAAGACATGCGCCGCCGGTCAGTCCCGAAGTTTAATTCTTTAGATAACTTTTTACGGTCGTAAGAAGAAGTAAGGGGAAGAAGTCAGCCAACGGGCGACAGGTATCCTTAGAAATATCAACGATATTCGAAAATATCGACACGTCGGTACAAAAGCTCAATATCACTGAAATGTTACGCTGACATAACAAATGATTCTAATCGCTTTTAAGTTGAAGATATTCAAAAACGAATCTATGAAAAGGATTTGTGGTTAACGTACGTTTAATTGATAATATTCTAAGAATACCGTATTGGCAGTATTTCATTATAAAAGCTACACGTGTAGCTTTACATATCAGTTATATTAAACGTTCTCCAATTTCTGTATACAATCAACGAAAGCTGTACAGTCATAATTGTGGAATTATGCGATTTCCTCTTAAGAAACCTTTATCGTCATTGTTCTCACCGTTGTCACCTATTGTTTACACTCCTTTCATCTAGCTATTTTCATGTTTTTTTTTTCGGTGCATCTCTCTCGCCATTTCTCCTTGTCTGGCGCCCTCTCGTAACCCCTTTACGGGAACGTACGTTTAACCCCTCCGACTACTTCAGAACAACCCCTCCAACCATCTATTCTCATTCACGACTTGGTGCATGAAGCGACTACGATGCGCACGATCGCAAATCAGTAGAGAGCTTATTATTATCTATAAAAGATAGATAGTGACGGCGAAAGATTAATAGTAAAGAAAATATTTATAGTCCTCGAGTTACGGCGTGAAACATTTTGAAAACTGAACGCGCTTAACTGACAAGGACAATGCTCGATCGATCGCGCGATTTCTGTACGAACAAGATCGCCGTTTCGCGTACGAGGCAATTGCAATTTATTATCGAATTATGCGAAGACAGCAACGGTACATATAATGCTCGCACGCTGCCGGCATACAAACCCTCGGTCGATTTTTTGCGCGGCGACTTCGCGATCACCGAGTACGTGGAATCCGACTGGCCCAGACCCTGGCCCAGAGTCACGGCCATTCGAGATCGGTAACCCCGTTCACTTGGACTATGCGAGAGAGCGCGCGCGGCCCTGAATCTTTTCGAATCATCGCGAGATTAGTCGATCGACGGGACCGTGGACACTTCGCGACACGAGAAGAAAGGTCGTCGAACTCTTGAAACTCTCGAACCCTAATCCGAAAGACCGGTCTCGATCATATCGCGCAAGGTTACGTGAGCGATCACCAGGAGTCGATCCGTTCGACAAATTCAATCGTTAATTTGAAAACAAGTCGATCATCGTGAAATTCTGAGGAAATAGAGAAACGTCGTTTCCACACTTAAATGTCACCAAAGAATGGAACAATAAATCGTAATCTTATATTTTTTCTAGTAGCAGAAACCCCTTAGCTTTTCGCGATTTAATTTAAAGTCTGGCCGCGAGAATTTAGACAATGCAATAGTATCATATATCAACGGGTAATACTCACAAAACCGTATAAATTTAATATTATTTAACGATTAGCTCATGCGTTATGATTTTATTTGTATTTATATGGAAAAAGAATAGAGATTTTCAACGGAGAACAGAAGCAGCAAAACACATATTTACCGCAGGACGATTTAGCACCGCTATAATTCATTGGCGCCGCACCCGATATTAATAGAATATTGGGTTACACATGATTTATTCGTAATTTTATCGAAATCGAACAAACTGTAGAATTTCATTTGCGAGTAAGATTTTTTTTCCCCAATGTTGTCTCGACCATCCCAAACTCCCATTACAAAATTTACATTTGACCGATCGTTAAACGCGGCGACCGATTATTAAAAAAAAAGTGTTCTCTCATACGCAGAGAGAGAGAGAGGGGGGGGGCGCTGCAAATATAAATAAATAAAATAAAAAAAATAAATTTGAAGACCTAAAACTATACGTGCCAATAAAATGTGTCGTTCGCACATACACCGTGGCAAATCCGGTCTACGTGTGAACGATGTTCTCGTATTACGCTACGATTATATGGCTGGCGAAGCCGTTGACCTCCTCTTCCTCCTCCTCCGCGAGTGTAACGAAATTTCGGCGTGGGCATACGCGATACGACGGCTCATGCCGAATTTCACTTTTCGACGGAAGAACACGTGCGATTCGCTTCGATGCGATTTCCACGATAGCGAGCCGGTCGACAGCGGTCCCGCCTAGCGAAAGAAGTTTCCGCGTGAATCGCCGACGACTACTAACCCAGATACGTTCCTCGGGGTCGTCGATCTTTTCCCTCCTCGCCAGGAGAACGACTGTGTACCAGATATATTAATTTCCTACAGCACGACCGCTTCTTGCACACGAATCGCAGTCGAATGTCGGCACTTGCAAACTTTCAGAATAGTTCGTTTTCTGTAGGTCAATACTCTCGGATGCAGAATCCGAGCGTTGCCACGAATGTTAGCGTCGTAGTGACGTTACAATCAAATCAACAATTTTTGTTACAATCTGTAATTGTTATATTATAATCTAACTTTAATCTCGTCATTAAAATAAATTCGAAAATAAATTTGCTTAAATAAAGTTAACCGGCGAATTAATATTCAATGTATTTGCCTTTCGATTGAATTAAAATTTATATATAAATAATATTTATCGATAGATTTTATATCTAATTTCTTAATAATTTCTTTAAAAGAAAATTTTAACTAAAAACGTTGTTTAATTAAATGTGAGCTTGTCCACGATGATCGTTCTTGAAAACAAATTTCTTTAATTTACAATGTAGAAGTTTTTTTTCGAAAACGATCGTCATGAACAAGTTCACATTTAATTAAATAACGTTTTTAGTTAAAATTCGCTTTGAAAGATTATCGCAACACGCGTTGTACAGTTAAAATGTTTCTATGAGAAATAATTGTGCGCCAGATAAAAAATAATTTTTCTCGCTCTTGAGAATCCCCGATCGATTTTCACGTGCAACGAAAGAAAAATATTTAGCTATCGGCGCCGAAGATAATTTCTGCATCTCCAGTTCATTTCGCTCGTACATTTTGTAGATTTGTACGTAATCCCATAGAAAAATATCGATTTTCGATTAGGAGAGAAATTGGGATGCCACGGCGCCGCGTGAAAAAAAGCCCGGAAAATCGGCGCCGGCGACATGTCGCGCGTCACTCGTAGGTTTCTAATCAGACGCGTAATAGCGGCCACCACGGATAGAAAACCGAATGTGAACCGGAAACGTCGTTTCCATGGAACCCATTCGGATCGAAGCAAGGTGTTTCGCCTCCCCCCGCGCACGCTTGCCGCGCTCCGCGCACTCGTAACTGTTACTTTAGGAGTATATAACGGACCGTCCGACGTACGTATATTCGCGTGTTTATCAAGTAGATTGCGTGTGCGTAAAGATTATGGCGAATAACGGGGAGAAATTTGTTTGCTGCGAGAGATGTCCCCCCGAGCCCGACCACGAAATCGTATTGTTGAGCTTCTGATTCGATATGGTACGATTTAGCCATGTTTGTTTTTGTATATAATTAAACAAGTCATAATTACATAGAGGCGAATGTAAATAAGATATTTATGTTTATTTCTTTGTATTTTCCTGTACGGTTTGGTTCGGTGCATTACGAGTATTTTGCATTACTCGGATTATTGATGGAATAATTTCAATTTTGCAGTCCTGTTACATTTAATGAAATATAATTATAGATCTCAGTACTTTGATTTTCATAAAACAATTATTTTAAAATATAAATATTATATTAACAATAGGACGAATTATTTGACTTCAACTGGCCAAGTAGTTTGTTGAATAACTCATTCCAGCGTTTCGACCATTCGGATTGTAGTCCTTTTCAAGGAAATAAAATATATCTACAATGTTCGGAGAAACATTGTATTTTTAAACCGTTTAAATTATATTATTATTATGTATAAATTTTCTTGCAGGACATTTTATACGTGTATTTAAATGTATAAAATGTTCAGCAATTTAAACGTTGAAAAAACAGTGTGTTCGCTATGTAAGGATCTCATTAAAGAGAAAGGGTTGCATCCCCTTTCGGTTCTTTCGCGTCATTAATATCTCGAATTAAGTAGCGTAATGCGTTTTTAAATGCACAGGTAATTTGCCTTCCCAGTACTGTACCACCGCAAATAGATCAGTTCTGATTCACGTGTGCATTCGCATATAGGTGCTTGTTCAAGTTGAAGGGCGGAATAATTGAAACGCCACGGTGGGACGAATCGCATGCGAAAAACGGTAAATTGTTCCGCGGCAGGCCGGCGAGGATTCACTTTAATACAAAAGTAACGCGGAGTAACAGCACTTTCTACAAAAAGCTTAAACGCAACATGTCCCGGTTCAAAGCCTTAT